TCTGTGGCGAATTTGACCATCCCAAACTCAGTGACTCACATTGGGAGATTTGCCTTTTCGGGTTGCAGCTCTTTGGCAAATTTGACCATCCCGGACTCAATGACCCACATTGAGAATGGTACCTTTAAGGATTGCGGCTCTTTGGCGAACTTGACCATACCAGACTCCGTGACCTACATTGGGGATGATGCCTTCTGGCATTGCAGCTCCTTGACGAGCACGACTATCCCAGACTCCGTGACCCACATTGGGGATCGTGCCTTTGCGACCTGAGGAGTACAACCTCAAAAAACATCTTCCCGCCGGATGAACTGCCGGTGAAACTTCAACTCCACCGGATGCGAAACTCAGAAATCAACGCCAGCGTCTCCAGCGAGCCGACCGTGGTCGAGTCGCCAGCCGTGTCTTTCGTCGTTGTCCATCCACTTCCGGATGTCTTCCGGTTGCCTCCTGTCGAGTCGAACTGGGTGCCCTTAGGGCACCCAGTTCACTCCATGGGACCGCCATATATATGCCTATATCAGTTGGGGTGGTGCGAGGGGGGTCAATGGGGCGTCATTTTTGGGCCGTCCCATGGAGTGGGTTTGGAATGCTCTGAGACATTCCCACCAAGAAGAAGGACATCCGGATGAACTTGAATGCACATATCCAAAGAGTTTCCATGGTATCTGAAAAGAACTGTTGCCTGGCTTCTGAAGTATGTGCGTTTGGAGTTTGATACGAATGGGAGTGTCCCCAAAGAAGGCCATATACCTGGCCCTCCCTATCCATCGCTGAAAGATTGAATTGCTGGACTGAATATTGGGACGAATCCAGGCTACTCCATCCGTCCGTCTTGCTTTGGAGCAACCAAGCTTTTGTTCGATCTTCTCGTACCTTTTCAGTGTTTGGAACCACCTTGGTTGGAGTACCAAAGAGATATGTTCCCTCTGCAAGACTCCTATTCTTTGTCAACTAGCAATTTCTATAGTGCTTTGCCAAAAAACAATCGTCATTGAGATTGCTTGGCCAGGAGTTTGACCGGAGTTTTCATTTGATTGATGCGTTTTTGTTTCAGGTGGGATCTCATCCATTGACTTCCACCACTCTGGGGAACAGCTGATCTCTGCCGCCGAGGACAGCCAGCTGACAGACACATGATGGGTGTAGCAGATCCAAATCGATACCTTTCTTTGGTATGCTCCCCAAGACCCGTAGCCCCAAAATGGTTCAGAAGGAAATTTACTGCTCACTCAGATGGGCCAAAAAACCCTCAACAAGCAGGAAAAAGCAGGACAGGCCACCGATTCATCACCAGACTCATCACCGAGCTAAAAACGCCGGCGAACTTCCCGTTGGGTGTGTGTTCATGGTGTTCCTGTACCCTCCAAGAGATGTTACATGAAAAAGGATCCTAGCTTGGGTACCTAATGGGATAGTCGAACATGGTCGAACTAAGGTCCTTCAACCTCTGTTGGCTCTATCTAGACTCTGCATGAATATGGAATATTCTGCACAAAAGCTCCTCTGATTGGCCTCTCAATGATGGTTTTAGAGGAGCCCTTTGCAATCACCGACCTGTCCCTAGGGACCGTGAGGGATGGACTACATCTGGGATGCCAGATAATGGTTCTTGGGGATGGAAACACATTTCTCACAGATGTGTGGGTGGGCACCTGGGCACATCTCCCAATTCCTACCCAGACCGGTCACCCCTGGAACCCCTCACGAACAGGGGTCGACGGGGTCTGGGGTCTCGTGACCGGGTTGACCGGGAGTCAGGGCGGTTTTCACGGAGCGTCTGGGTGCAAGGTCCGAGCCAAGGCAAAGACATTTCGCCACACGGTCTGTCCACACACTTGAAGCAATCACATCACACGATACCTCCAGGAGGGTCCAGTCATCCCTCTTCGATCGGGTGGCCCATCGATCGGCTCCACATTCACCACCGGTCCTCAACCCGCCTGGCCATGTTTCTCGGGTTCAAGAGTGATCGATGCGACCGTTTTATTCCACCCCAGAATCCGGCCGCCCCCGTGGGTGGTTCAGGCAGCCGGCCAACTATTGGTTGGTTCATCAATAGAGAATAGAGGGGATAATGTATATAGACTCTTGATTAATAACCCCCCCAATAGGAAGAGGTTTTTCAATCCAATTCGGGTGGGTTTATCAATCAAGAGTCTACATTAGAGTGTACCAACCCACAGACGCAGCACGTAGCTCCGAACTCAGGCCATCCATATGATCCCGGTCGCAAGGGGGACAACCAGCTCTCCTGGGCATCGACTTCGGACACACCGGTTCGTTCGTTCGGAAGGTCCGCCGCTGAATGGACCCGAATCCTCTCACCAATCCCGATCGGTTTGGTTCGGGACCAAAGGCCTGATTTCGAGCGTCTGGGGTGGATCTACGGTACCGGGCACCGACCCCTCGTTCCTTCTTCCCAAGTCAGGAGAATTCATTCTCAGTTACTCAGACTACTGCCATATACAGGGTGCCTTTTGTGTTTTTCAGAAGGTGCTGGACATGTACATTGTGTAATTATGTCTGACATTCCAATATTTGTTCTTAACTTTATAGCAGGACAACGTTTATGTCGAACCTAACAACATGTTTCATTATTAGTTTTAAGCACAAGGCAAAAACATAGTAACAACGCACTGGGGTGCCGAAAGTTGCGCTTCTTGACTTCTAAAACGGGACACACCCTTTCCCCTTAGAATCCTACGTGCAACATGTCGACACCTAAGTTGCGGTCCGATTTCCACACCTGAAAGCCTGATAAGTATTATACATTTAAACGGGTGTGGAATCTGACCGTGCTGTACCTGCCAGGCAAAATGGGCGTGTCAATCCGATCCGCTGTAGACCGCAAGTGTCATGTTGGAACAGAGTAAGAAGCGCAAACTTTAGGGTTCTTGAAGTACTTCGGATTCAGCTGGAACCGTGCATTCGCCTGCATTGGGGTGGTTTGGGGGGGTCAATGTAGGCATATATGGCAGTCCCATGGAGTGTCTGGATAATTGTGTATATTTTTTCCCGGAGACATCACCTGCCTGTGGACCATTTTCCTCTACGAAGCAGAATCTGCAGGAGGGTACCTATGGCTCCAGTCGTACCTCAAAAGGTATTTGGACCCTCCAACTCGACCCCACACACTTCCTCAGAGGGTGGGAACCCTAGAGTAGGTGTTTCGGTGTCTGAGGCTTGGAAGGTCTCAACTCAACCGACATGGTCTCTCCGGCCGCGACCCGTCCGCGACGCCGTTCCAGGATGGCTTGAGGATTTGGAACCTCCGAGAGGGCCGCCTCATGCACGAGGCCCATCGGGCAGCGATGAGCACTGCGTTGTTACATGTGATGAAGCCTTAGAAGGAGCAGTGGGGTGTTGCAGCACTCCATGCATCAAAACCAGATTCGTATGATGAGGACCTGCCAGGAACTTCTCTAGTGGTACAGCCTTGGTGTCAGCAGGATGTCGTTCTTTTTGCACGGCCCTTGGCTCATTCTGAACTTCTCCAGGTCGCTGGCACCAAGAAGCCACCGGTGGCATGTGTGCGGAGCCGCAGGTTTCGGTTTCTAAGGGGAGTTTGGGCGGAAAGATCACAGCGATTTCTCCACTTCCAACGGAGAAGCACCCGGCGACGCAGCCCTTTTTTGCGCTCGGGCCATGGGTCTCTTTCCGGGGTCCCGTCATGGGGCTGATGGTCCTGAGATGTCCGGTCAGCACCGGAGAACTCATTTGGACAAACGATAAGGAAGACATACAACAACGACAACCCTGCAGATGCATAAGCCTTCGATCGTGCTGTTTTTCAGGTTTGTCTCTCACACACAGACAACAACTGTTTGTACCAGGCACGAACAAGATAGCACAACGATGACAAAGACGACAACGCGGCGAGCCTAAAACACCCTTCTGCACACTCGTGCACAATGGCACACACATGTGATAGCAGTGCTAGTCTGGAACGAACTGCGCCATGGCATCAGGTTTGCATTGCACACAGACGATAACGCGGCAAGAGTTGCAGCTAGTCAAGGAAGGAAAAGGAACTGTAAGGTCAAAAAGTTGAATCAAATTGAGGGGCTATACCAGGACACCCTAAGGGGCTTCTATTGATAGCCCCCTAGATGTTGAGGGGTGTCCATTAACCACCCCTTGGGGGTCCTGGTAGACCACCTCAGAAGGGGTAGGCTGTCTCAAGTTGACCAACAAGACCGGAGTGCACCGTCCATCCTGCAACATCTTATAACCAGACTCAGCTGGATACCTCTTTCACAGTGAACTCAGAGTAGATGGGACAATCCCCAAGTTCGCTGACTTACATGGACTCCCCATCTTTTCAGGACCTCTTGGGGGCGCCAGTGCCATGTCTCACCTTTGAAACCGGATCTCCAGGCGCCGTGTGGACCATGTGACGAAGCGCCGTGTGGACATGATGCGACGCCTCACCTCGTTGGAGCAAAGCGCTCGGATGCGACGGGACCGAGGCCTTCTCACCTTCAGGGAAAGGTGCCACACTGAGATTGGCATGGGGAAGAGCCACCCAAGAGTTGACCAGCATGGGGTGTGTGTGAAAAGCGAGATCTAACAAATAGGCACTCATTTTGACAGGAAGAGATTCTAAGTGTCATGTTATATATATAATCTATATTTATGGTTTTCTGGGCTTCCGCGATTTTCACAGAAACTTACAGTATACAGAAAGTATAGTGGATAGTGGCCTCAACTTCGCAATTCACCAGCGCAATGCTTGCTTCGCAACAGGGTCGTAAGTTTCCGACTGAGAGGTGAGGGTGCGAAGGCATCTCATCTCAAGGTCAGTGTCACCGACACAAGCCACTGGTTTTCCATGGAAGGGGAACGATGTGGGCTGAAAACAGGCTAACTTGCCACCCGCAACAGACCTCCAGAAGCCAGAGGAGACTGTTAGAGGGTGCTGGTATTGGTCCTATGGAGCTCATGTCCCAGGAAACCACTCACAGTCAGCAAAAGATTGTCACTGTTTCTTCCGTGGGAAAGGCCTGCAACTGAAGCATCATCGTCCACTGGGCCCTGGTAATGGGGGATATACCATGATATATATATATATATACCAGGACCTTCCGACAGGTGGTTTTTGGACACCCCTTAACCACTAAGAGGCTATTTATAGACTATAGACACCTCTTGGAAGGTTCTGGTATAATCTGGTATATATATATATATTGTATACTGTAATAATCTGTAATATAGTTCATATGAGTAATATGGTCATACTGGTAATACTGGTTGGAGCCAAGCTTTGACTGGCCACTGGTGATGGGATATACTATGGAGATCATGGGATGCATCCTTGCCCCCACTGCGAGACCATCAGACGTTCACATCCTTGCTCACCAGGACTGGTGGCAGGCTGCCGAGACCATCTGGTGCCGCCTGAATGAGAATTCTCACTGTAAGACTGTAAGAAGCAAAGAAAAGCACGGCCAAAACAAGCCATCCCAAATGCAGTTCGGGGGTGCCATCAGAAACAAGCCAGCCCAAGTTGAACTTCACATTGGAAATACATTCATCATCACAAACCCCGCCTTTATCCATTAGAAAGGCCTGCACTGCACCTTCCATGCCCCAATTCTAAGCCGGTGCTGGGAGGTACTCACCTGGACTGTGAAGGACACCAAGACCAGCACCAGCGCCATCAGCGCCATCACCCCGAGCCCAGCGCGGCGCCATCCAGTCGCCACGCCCGAACGAGCCGCGGCACCGGCACCGGCGGCGCCCGCGGCGCCCGCGGCTGTGCCGGCGGCGGCGGCGCCTCCAGCGGTGCCGAAGGCGGCGGAGGCAGAGCCGCTGGCGGAGACGCTGAAGACGATGCTGCTTGGAGGTGAAGGGTTGGTGAGTGAAGTAGCTCTGATATTTGAGGGATCTTGATTCCTGTGCATTTAGGGTTTGGTGTTTTCACTGTGATTGCTTTCCCCAGAGCTGAGTAAGACTGTGAGATTGCCTGAGTCGAAGCTGATCTGAGGCAGAGCCATTTAGAGATCATGGTCCGCACAGTGCAACTGCTTGTGACTGGGCCGCACTCTTCGCCGAACCATCCATGGAACTTATACCAGGACCCTCCAACAGGCTGTTTGGAGACCCTATAGTTGGTTTCTGGGCACCGGACTTGTCACTATGTTCTGATTGCTTAAGAATGTTCTTTGTGACATCTGTGCCCTGGACCACTGACCACCGCCGGGGGCGAGAAATCGCAGTGAGGACCAACGCCTAGCGCTCAATGAGGAGCAGGCGCACGGGTGCACGCGCACGAGCGCAATGGGGTAGGACCCGGGTACGAATGTGGCAGTGCTGTGCTGAAATATTTGCTGTTGGAGCTGAAAGTGCTTTGTGACCAGGAACAGCATTGAACCGTTTTTGGGTGGGTTTGGGCGACGCGGTGTGTATTCGGATGTCCGGGCACAACATAGAAGCTCGGCTGGACTGCAGCGACTTCGTACTCCTGAAAGAACAGACACTCTGAAAACTGCATGGGCTGCATGGAGATGGACATGATGGACACCGAAGGGCTTTTTGTCCTTGCATGTGCTGGAGGTTTGTCCAACGAGCCCGAAAAAGGTTGCTTAGACTGGACGGAGAAAAACTCCAAGGTCCATTGACTGCTGGTATTTTATATATGTTCAACCTTTACTTGGGATAATTGAAACCACTGAACCTCATTTCTTTTCAAGTGAGCAGCATTCCCCATGAAAGAATTGCAGGATCTTCAAGGCTGTACAAGGCGTCGTCGCGTAAGCTAAACTCTGTATGGCGTATACGGGTTGTCGGGTCCACCTTTAATGCGCTTCTTTTTCAAGAAACAACAGCTGTAAGCGCTTCAGCTTCAGCGCGCAGGCAGGCACGTGTTTGCGGAACTTTCTGTTTCGAACATTTCAGTCCGCTCCCTCGCGGTGAGAAGAATGCGCCACGTGCTTTTGTTTTTGTTCTTTTACCGCGAACACATGGGCAGCGGGATTTCGCGGGCATTGGCGGGATTGCGCGGGTGCGCGCAGACCGTGAAAAGGAAGGATGGCGCGGATGGGATGGCCGTGCGGGCCATCCGAGCGTTTTGAGATGCTTTGACCACTCAAGTGAGTTGATCGTCACCAACCAGCCTTGGTTTCTGGTCTCGAGTCTCAGTGTAAAATTTTTCGCCGGGTGTCCACAGCGAATTGGCTTGGCTTCGCCTCCAGGTCAATGCAATGCGTGCCGAGCTGCCCGGGCTCTTGGGGGCGGTAGAGGCTCCTGCCCCACATCCTGAGAAGGTAGTTAGACCCCCCTGGGCACCCACCCTAACCACCTTTGAAACGGAGGTAGTTGGAGCCCTAGGGGATCCTAGGGGTGCTAGACTCCATGGAATATGAAGTGGAAAAACACCACCTGCCAGCTTCTTACCTTTTTTTGTCCCCAAGTGACCTGTTACAGGCCGAAGTGACCTCAAACCAGGATATCAAAAGGTCACTTTGAAGAACCAGGTGGATTTCTTTCGGTCGCCGCGTGTCGAAGAACACCGATGGGTGCCCAAGGCGCAACCCCCCCAGGCGCGACCTGTCTGGGACTGCCATCGGACTGCCGCTTGACCAGACTCCCCAGACCACCCCTGGCCGTTTCTCGGCAGTCCGACATGGCAGTCCCAGACACGGACCCACGCGCCCGGACCGGGCCCGAACCGGGCCCGGACTGGGGGTTCCCCCTCTTCGAGAGTGAGGACGAAGGCGAGCAGAAAGTCTGGAAGATCGGGTCCAAAGCTCAAAGTCACAGCACATGTCAGGGTCAGATCATGAACATGTGTGACTGGTGTAGATGGATGTTTGTCGATTCTTTCTGGAAGTATGGCTGTTGTACTCACCTGCACAGCTGTTGGAATCCCGCCACAAATGCGTCCGCGACGATAGACCCAGTCCTTTGAGGCGAGCCAGGCCCGCTGGCCAACAAGCAAATCCGTTTTGCCGTGGGGCCATGGCGCCACATATTTCAGCGCTGAACTCCTGGTTCTGGAAGTCACGCCAGAGACAACAGGCCAGGAACTGAAGCACCAGATCAAGGAGGGACAGGTGAGCTGGGAGCAGTTTACCTTTCGCACTACAGGTGTCGAGGTCATTGTTGGAGATGACCACTTACTGGCCAATGATGCCAAGATATTGGACGCTGGGATTGCTGAAGATACTGTCGTGAGTGTTGTCTTCAAGCCACATGTCGTGATATGCTCCAACAAAGATAAAACATCGCCAGTCTTTGTGGCATTGTTGACTCCGAGCTGTTGCTCGTTGTCGAAATTCCACATGATGAAACAATCAGTCGTGAAAAGGCTTTTGAGGGGTGCCGCACCGTGGCCAAAGTGACCATCCCGAACTCGGTGACCCACATTGGGAATTGTGCCTTTGACAATTGCAGCTCCTTGACGGTCTTGACCATCCCAGACTCAGTGGCCCATATTGGGGCTGGTGCCTTTCAGAGTTGCAGGTCCCTTGGTGAGCTTGTCCATCCCACACTCCGTGACCTACATTGGAGATCATGCCTTTCGTGATTGCAGCTCTTTGGTAGACTTGACGATCCCAAATTCAGTGACCCACATCGGGCCTGGTGCCTTTCTGGATTGCAGCTCATTAGTGAACTTGACCATCCCAAATTCAGTGACCCGCATTGGAAGGGGTACCTTTGGGCGTTGCACGTCGTTTGCGAGCTTGACCATCCCGAGCTCAGTGACACACATAGAGAATTATGCCTTTCGTGATTGCAGCTCTTTGGTAGAAGGTATTGCAGGTCTTTGGCAGACGTGACCATCCCGGACTCAGTGACCCGGAGATCGCACCCTTGGAGGTCGCCAGGTCGTGCGCCGTGAGTGCCGAATGGACTTGCTGCGTCGTGCGATGCCGAAAAAGACCGATGAGTTCGAAGCCGGAACCTCGATGGTTCCTCGATGGCAACGATGCAAACCCAAGAGTAATGACCGGTCGACCTCTGGTGCTTCAAGTTATTAACATCTTCCAAGTACTCCTGGATATTCACATGCTTCCTGATAGTAGTGGGCCGGGGCGGCTGGAACAGCCAGGTGACCCCGACAGGAGAGCACTTGGGTCCTCCGCGATCCGATCGCCACACGAAGGCTGAAGCCACCAGACATGCAGACAGGCTCCTCATCCCAGCATACCAGGACCGAGCACCAAGTTCGGTGGTGTTGGGACACCCCGACTCACCTCTTAAAACGAGGCGTGTAATGTGCACCTCAACCTCCAACGGAGGGGTCCTGGAGTTGGCGTTTTTGACCGCCAAGACCATCGGATTCGGGGCCGTCCACCACATTGGCATTGGGCCCGGAGGTGCGGAGGTTTCGGCGTCCCCCCTTGGAATCCACAAAGATGGAAGGAGCAGAACAACTGGTGGGCCCAGCATTACTTCGGCACTCAAGACATCTCAAGACCTGGTTCAGTTCAACGTGAAGAGAAATCCTGTGATCTCTGCAAGTTGGACGCCTCCCCAGCCGCTTTTAGAGGTGTCCAGCTGGGTTCCGGCAGCGCTGGGGATGTTGAAGTGCCGTAGTTGGACCTGTTTCACAGCGGCGGGGTGTCTATATATATACATCGCACCGTGGGCCGAGGTGATTGGGGGTGTCCAAAAACCACCGCGGGCGCGTGGTTGTTCGGCGCCCGGTCGGTCGGTCGCCCGTCGTGATCCGATGGGTGCGGCCGCTGTTCACCGGTCGAGTGACGTGTCCAGCGACCCACACGAGGTCGCGACCAGACTTGAGGTTTCTTCCGGATATCGGTTTACGTTTACTCATCGATTTTTCCTTTGGCATATTTTTTCTCATCTCGCTCTTCTGTTTCGGTGTTTTGGATGTTTTGGTGTTTCGGGCATACCAGAAAGTTTTAGAACACATGTTGTTATCCTCACCCAGCAACAGTGCCAACAGTGCCTCACATCATATTATTATATACCCTCCGTGCAACAATCATGGAAGTGGACAACCCCCTCTTGGTAGAGGAAAATCGTCTTCCAAGGGGCCACTGTCCACTTCCATGATTGTTTCAGGGAGTGTATATAAAAGACAAGACACGTGACACGTCCTAGTTCTTTTTCAGGATCAACCACTTGTCAGGAGCCGAACTTGTGCGTGGCCCCTTAGTAGTCAAAAAGAGATGCCCCCCCCCCCCCCACACCTGTGGTATAAAACCTTGTTGGCGTTTTCTTTTTGCAAGGTCACATTTGACACTTTTATATTCAAACCTGAGGGTCACCCTAAGCAAGGTGAAACACATTATGTGTATGTGTGTGTCTCTTAATGGAGAAGCCTACCTTCTCCATTCCGGCAAAAGGGAACCGCTTCCCATCTTGATATCAATGGATTTCCACCACATCTTCCCAAGTCTTCAGGCTTCAAGCGCGGCCCCAGCCATCACCGCCACCGCCGTCCGCGCTACCAGCGGTTCCGGACCCACTACTGCCGAAGCATGAGGACGAGAGATGGAGCTGTGTCGAGATGTAGCTGGCCGGACCCGAACAACTTCATGAGACCTAATAGCGTCCTTGCTACTAATAGTGAGCCTTGCTGCTAAGAGCGTCATTGCTACTACTTGATGGAGCCATTACTAATAGCGTCCTTGCTACCTTGTAGCTTCTGGTTACTAGTAATGGCCTCCACCTAGTAGATCCTAATAGCGAGCCTCTTTTTCCCGATCCCAAGGATCTGCCAGTTGACCGGGTCAGGCGGTCAGACGTTGGCAGTACAGACCGGACACAGCACCGACCTACCAGGTCTCCGAAATGGTAGCTGAAATGGATCAAAGTGGACCAGGTGGTGACCTGTGAAGTCGGGTTCTGGTAGAAGTTGAACATGCATCAAGTAGAACGGTACCTGTTTGGTCCACCTCACACGTTGCTAGAGCCGACAGACAGAAAGAAGCGTCCTTGCTACTCGATTTCAGGGGTGGTTCATCATACGTTTCAAGGCATGGGTGCCCAACCTCCACAGACTTGGGACTTTCTTTTGGTGTTTTGGAATCACCCCGAACTGGAACTGGAAGAAACAACCGAAGAAATCTCACATAAACCCTGCAGTTAGCTGAGCTCATGTGAGAAGAAGGCAAGTTGTGCCGAGCTGTTTGTTTGTTGCTCGTGCGTCTAAATTGTTTATTGGATATGTTACGCAGGTGCTTTAAACTGGCCACAAACTCCTGACGAACGCTTGTGCCTTGATTTTTTTGAGATCTGTGAGAAACAACACCTATTTATCAGCTGATTAGCGCAATGCCATCCACAATTGTCCTGTTCTGTATGTTCACTTTTCTTTTGCAAAAGCCTGCATATCTCTTTGATTGATTTTACATGTTCTATCATTTTCTCCTTTCTGGATTTTGAGTACAATTGTGTTTTGTTTGATCTGAGTAATTATAGATATTATAGAACCGTAATTGATGCCCTTATGCACCCCAAGAGCTTCTAGCTAAAGTCATTCGAGCAACTTCCGGCCAACCCCGTCATTTTAGGTGGCTGATTTTTATTCTTTTTGCACGTTACATAACTTATATATATATATAGTGTTACGAAACTAGTAGATATTCGTTGAAGTAGATTTACTATAAATGTCAAAAGTCCAGTTGCACGCCACCAACGACGCTGCTTACGGCTTTTCAGCTTCGTGTTCCGTGTTTCGCTGTGTTGCCCAGCTGCCTCGCGCCCAGGAGCTCCCGAGCAAGGTGGATTTCTTAGCGCCCACAGCGCAGGAAGAGGACGGCACCGAGGTTGAAGAAGGTGACCGGTTGGAGGGCAGAGGTGACCGAGAAGTGAAGGCAGATGATATAGCTGTGTAGGGTAGGTGATGTCCACAGAGGTCAACAGGAAAACTATGACATAACTATGACCGTTTACGCAGCCAGCCCTAGGAACGCTTGGGCAGATGGTGTCTCTTTGCCAATGAATCCTGGCTCTTCAGATTCAATGATGCCCTGCTTTGAGATTACTTGGGACTGTCAAAGGTCACTTACGGACCCTGTCGCAGGGTCACTTTGAAGAAACTCCCACTCACTCACATGGACGTGGACACGCCGCTGTTCGAAGAGCCAAATGGTCTTCCCGGAGTCTATTTTCCAAAAAAACATGTGTCTGCGGGTCAAAGTGTCGCTGTGCGGTTCTAGGAATTTGCTAGAAGGATAAATCATGAATCATGATATATAGATCTTGGGTTTGTCCCATTACCTGTAACAGTTGATAAACAATGATCACTATTCTAGAGGAAGGTAGAGGAAGACCAAGGAAGGCCTTCTACTAACCATCATCATCCACTGTTGCTGGTAATGGGATAGACCCAAGAGAGATCCGTCGAACAGGTGTTGGTCTCAACGACCAATTTCAGATCGAGACGTCGCAGAGAAAAGCGGCCAGCGAGCAGCATCACAGGTGTTTATGTCTACATGCTCCAGACACGACCTGGCACTTATACATTGGGGTGGTTTCAGGGGTCTTTTATGGTCTTTGCATAGGCATCGGCATATATGTCATGCATACATGGTGTGTTTGGATTCAAATCCAGGTCGAACCTCGGACTTTCCGAAAGTGCAAACCCACAGATTCTATTCATTTATATATCCCTTTTCCAATCAGCTTTGGATGGCAACCGGTTTTGGAATTCGTCGAAAACAATGGAGAAGCAAGGCGGTGAAGTACATGGTGTTCACACAATCGGTGGAACATTTGTTTGACCAACACCAGCGGCATGTGACAGCTCAGTGCCTTATCAGAATATCATGACAACACTTGACAATTGGTCTTACCCTCTCTCCAACAAACATAGAAGTGGACCACGGCGCAGGAACAACGACGGCTTTGCTGTACAAACTCCACTTCCAAGTTTGTTGGAGGGATAGGTATAGTTTCAAGCCCACTGGGTGGACCGGTTGACGAATGAACAAGGACCTGACCTGCAGAATTGGGTGTGACCTCTGGACACGAAGAAAGTGGCCTTAGCCCTTCTCATACAAAAGCAGATTGAACAGCTAGGCGCAGGTCTGGATCTACCGACCGGTGCTGTCTTCTGTGCTGAGATACAGGCAGGGCCCTGGTGTGCGGGCCAGGATCCACACGTTGAATGTGACATCATGGTGAGCCGTGTTGGTCCTTCTCCACGCCGCAGGAGCTACGACGGGAGTTGGCGAGTCTCCGCGAACTCCTCTGAGGGGAGCAGCGCCAATGCGCTGCGCAATGCGCTGCGCAATGCGCTGCGCAATGCGCTTGTGCTGCGGGGGTAGCGTGCAGCACAGTCTGGGGGAAAAGAGCGGAAGAGAAGCGGGGGAACAACGGCGAGCAGCTTGGTCGTAGCAAACGTCAAGCATCACTGAAAAGGAAGTCCCTCGTAGAATTGACTCCAAGCGCAGCTCATGAGCTCCGTGAAGGATGTCAGCTGGACCCATGGCAGGTGATGTTCTTCTCGGATGTCTTCTAAACGCCCCGTACAAGGCTTCGGATCCTTTTTTCAGCGTTCGTTCTCCGTGCAACTGAGGGTCTCCGACTCGGGTGACGGTCGTTCTCCACCGGCGGAACGCACCACGGTCACCGGGGCCGCAGGCAGTGACACATGTGGTTTATATGATATTTGCAATTATATAATATACATCATATGCAATGTGTGTAAGTTAGTTAAGTATGTATTGTATTTGTCAATGGTTGTTTTTAGTGTCAAGAACCTTGGATGAGACTCGTCTTCCAAGGAGGTTGGGGAGCCTGGACACAAAGCACACAAACCTCACCCGACTCCGACACCAAGAGAGGTTAAGTGACCCTGGACCCTACTGGGGTACCGAACTGGGATAGTCTAGTTCGGGTCATTCAACCTTTGTTGGCATGACTCCGCGTGTTCCACACTTGGCACCGCCGTTGGCTCAAGCCGTTGGGAGCTGGAGGAAGGCGAAGCATGGACTTCAAGGAGGCGAGGTGCCGGGTGATGAGGTGTATCTTTGAGCCGGGTGATGGGGTTGTTCACAGGCACCATCCATGCCTAGGCCGTCATGCAGCATCAGGCCGTGATCTCTTAAAGGAGGGCCTGAAGAAGAACTGACTCCACACACGTTGGTTTGAGAAACACATTACTGTATATATAAACACAGTGATGAGGGATCCCTGTGATGGATGGGTGGCCCCTAGAATGCCCAACACCGATATCTGCATGGGGCCCTGCCAGCAGTTGAGATGAATTATTCTTAAACTTTCCGCGTGAGCCAGTTACGTCCTGTGGTTGGACAGCGGCTCTTCTCATGAGATGCAGGAGAATTGTGCGGGAAGACACGGCTGCGGATGCCGATTGAATACAATTCAGGGCTCATCCTGCTGCATATGATCTGGAGGCTACATGAGGCTACACTGTTTGACTACTTTGGGTCAAGTAGGCCGAACGCCCTGGGTTCACGTCCACCTTTACAGTGGTTTCAGAGCTCGACGGCAACCTCAAGATTCTATTTACAATGGGAGTTCATATTTTCACCTCCTCTTGGGGTCTGTGCCAGACAGGTCCTCTCAATCCACTTAAGCCTCAGGACGTTCAGGTCGACCCGATCCTTGTGACCCGATCCTCGGTCGCTGGACGAGCCGACTCGGTGGAGAGGTTAACACGGACACCGCGGCGCGGTGCATGCGCGGTTCCGCGCGGTTAAGCGCATGACCAACTGCTGATGTGAAAGGGAACATGTACAGAAAACCCATAGTTTTGGGGGGGGTGAAGACTGTGGTTTCTTGCAATTCATTAATCCATGGAGATGAGGGATTCGACTGGCTTTCGTCCCCTGTGGAGGTTTCATGAGGTCCTGCTACATATGGGGGATCAAAGGCTTCTTGGGGCAGTTCCAATGAATTTGATCCATTTTCGCCCCAACACCCCGGCAGTTCCGACCTCGAACTCGCCACCCATCCGACCCCTCGGCTCCGACCGAACACCGAGGAAAGCCACCGGACCCCTCGGACCACCGGACCCCCAACCGGGTGCCTCCGCTCCGGGGGGATGCTCCGGACAACGAAGCCTAAACCCTAAAGCCTAAACGCCTAAACCTGCTCCGCCCGCTGCGAGGGAGATTGGTTGTGTCCCAGTTGCGGCGATCATCAGACCGGGCGCCCAAGAGTGGAAATCCACCGCAGAGAGGGGAGGGGAGATCGGTGGAGAGGCGGAGGAGACGGGGGATGCGCCGGTAGAGTCTGAGTGTTTCTGTGGCACAGACATTTGTTCGGTGGATGTTGGGATCAGTTGGATGATGTTGGGTGGAGGTATCCGACTAACTAGAAGCTTATTGGCTACAGAAGGCTATTGACTCTCTCACTGTATGAATGAACATACTTTCCTTCACGCAAGCCCAAAACAAGCGCACCACTCATTGGTAGAGGATGCTTGTTGACAGGCATATCGGCATATATTCACACTTGCAGGGAGCTTGCGGATGCAAGTTTTATGTTCACTGAAGTTCACAAAGTGTCCCACCGGGACATTTTGGCTCAAGTTGGTAGCAATCACGCAGGATTGCATCAGGGCCTTGCATCAGCAGACCTCAAGGCGGAGCGCGCCCAAGCGGAGGCGGCGGAGCGGCAGGAGAAGGCAGACCAAGTGTCCCAGCTGCAGGCCACGATCTTGGCACCCATCCAGGAGGGCATGCAGTCGGTCCCTGACAGCCAAGTTCGGAACGCTGGCTCCAACCTCCTGCGGAAGGTCAACCTCATGGACTTCAAAGCGGCGCTGAAGAAGAGGATGTTGGAGGAGGCCTCTGGCAGCACGGAGGATTCCCTCAAGGCCGCAGTCACATCCCTCGAGAAGGCCAAGGAGGCAAACAAAAAGATTCAAGACCAGGGCACGGCCTTCATGGAAAAGTTTGCCCTCACCCCCACGGAGCTCTCGGCTTGGCCGGAGGACCTCAAACATAAGCTGGAGAGGAGCCTTTTCTGTCCGACTGCTTCCCTGGTCTGGCACCAGGTCCCGGACCCATCGGACATGCTGCAGCACTACCTCCCGACCATGCGGGCCCTGCAGAATGGCCAGAACCCTTGGGTTGACAACCCCAAGCTGCTGGAGGAGATGCCCGACCTCAAGCACACAGTGGCCACCGCGGCATCTGGGGAGGCTTCAACCCCTGGTGCCGATGGCCCAGCGGTGACCTGGCATGGCAACTCTCAACGAGATGGACGAGGAGGCCAAGAAGCTGGCCATGCTGCTTTGGGCCTTGAAGGTGCACCGTGGGGAGCTCAGAATGTTTGGTGGGGTTTGGCGCCGGGTGCCTGAGTTTAGTCCGCCCCTCCCGGACTGGGCCCAGCCAAAGCCCGGGGCACTCACGCCCAAGGAGGTGGACCGCTACCGAGCACTGGAGCGCCGGACCCACCCGAGTTCCTTTGGCGCGGACATGGTGGAGCCCTTCCACTACACTGACCAGGAGGTGGAGGCACAACGGCAGGAGGGGACTCGGCCCGCGCTGGGGTCCATCCTCTCGATTTGGTGGGCCCCTACTCGATGCGGTACACCTTCAAGTACATCTACAGCCTGTGGTGCAGCCTTCCCTTGGCCATCGAAGCCAAGCAGAGAGGCAAAGATGCTCCGGGCTCAGCCACAAAGACCCGGAACCTGCGACGTGCTGAGGCCCGCAAGGAGGCCAGCTCCTTTCTCGCAGCCCTGGGCCTAGACAAGCCGGCGGACAAGGACGAATGGCGCACGGTGCTCCGGGAGATGGGCACATTCCTGGCCACCAAGGTCTTCTTGACCAACTGCCCAGCGCCGGTGATGGAGATGCCAGTGGCCCCGGTGCACGACAGCAAGGAGGCCATGCGCTTCAGGGCCATCTGCGATGAGAGGATCACCATCCCGCTGGACGCCCTGAAGCAGTTCCCGGAGGTGCACTCGAAGCTGGTGGGCCAGCTCCCGCAGTCGGCCATGGTAGACGTGAAGGTCAACTGGCGATGCAATGTCACCCATACCTGGGCGGCCGAGGTCCCCCCATACATTCGGGGGATCTCATTTCTTTTCTATCTGTTTGGGGAACCCACCTTCCACAACTGATCCTTACTCCCCCCTTCCGGCGCTCTTTTCCTGCGGGACACCACCGCTGTCTGCCCGCCAGGTTCGCGCGCAACGCCTCGTGCCGGAAGTGTGGCGCGCCGAAGGATGTTGGGAGAACCCAGAGAACGGCGACCTTGGTGCGGCGGGCGGCGGGTTTTGCTGGTGAAATCCGAGCGGATTTGAGGTCAGGTAAGGATGTCAATAGGCCTCAAGATCCTCAGGTCAGGTGAGGATGTCAAGGTCAACTGTCCTCGGAGTAAGACGTCTATTTTGCCCACATGTGGATTTGGGGAATGGTTTTGCTGCTAGCTGATAGCTGGCATGCACTTAGAACCACAGATTGTGTTGGTGCAGGGAAAAATTTGGCTTAGCCATTCTCACTCTCGGATCCAGAATCCCAAAACCGCTTCCAATGGGAGGCAGTTGACTTCAAGTTCTCCTACCAGTCCCAGATTTGTGTTCGGTTTCGCGTGCTTCCCTTCTTCAGACCTTTTTGGCACAGACCCTCCCCGATCTCCGACCGTCCCGTCGACGACGGGTCGCCCCGTCGCTGAGGAGGTCGCGCCGGCCACGACCTCGGGACGGCCCATCATGCGTGTGGCGTCCGGCCAGGCGAGGAAGGGGTGTTTCAAGTCCACACCGCGTGGAACGTAGCATTTCATGGAGACTCAAAAGAATCTGAAAGTACCAGCCTGAAGTGTTTTTTTGGCATGTTTTCATATGTTTTTCTTCTTTTTAATGCATGTTTGGGGTGGTGGTTTGATGGTTTAATGCGAGTCATAGCATCCTCGAGGTCGGACCTTGAGAGGTAGGCAGGTTCGGTTCGGCTTTGGAACAAGCCCGGTCGCGGATCGTGAAGACTTGGAAAGGAATGGGAAAACCACTGGATTTCTAGGAGAATGCTGCTCCTAAAAACCACGATCTTCCAAAGCCCAGTGTTTTTGGCAAGAGAATCAACAAACCCTTTGACCAGTTCTGGATGCGTCATATGGAAAAGGGACCTGGACTCCAGCATCTTCCTCTACTTTGTTGGGGGTACCTTTTGTGCCTTTTGATTTGGTGCTGGGTCTTAAGATGGTTTAGGGTCACTCGAATGATGACCACCTCTCAAGAGGTGGTTTCTGCATGTTTATGTTGAGCATTCCAACATATTCCAAAGCTCAAGAAGGTAGGCCATTGGCGAAACAGAGAAAATGATTGGCCAAAGCTGATGGAGAACTTCTTTCGCAGCTCTTTCGCAGCTTCAGGACCTAGTCTTCAAGGACGACTGGAATTGCTCGGGACCCCGCAGCTGTGATGGCCGACCCTGTGGCCTAGACCATCCAAGAGAGGTAGCCAGTGACCTGAACTAGGACCTTGCTGGGGTACCGAACTGGGATAGTCGAGTTCGGGTTCTTCAACCGCTGTTGGATTGTTTGGCGTTGGATCGGATCAGTGTCCCACGCTCGAAACTTGGAGTGTTCCATTGGCTTTGGAGCTCCAAAGCCAGGTGTTGCACCCCAGAAACCTCAGACTGCAGTTTTTCCGGCTGGCTTGAAGGGGGTCAACTTGGAGTCCATTCCTCACTGTGATGGCCAAGTCGACAAACAGCTGCCATCGTTAGAGTGAGGAGGCAGCACCCAAACAAAGCCGCGGTCTTTGCTCCAATTGATCTCCAACGCGCATCGACCCTGTCACGCTTCCGGGGGTTCGCGCCTGCACACCTGGTCATTAGGAATTAGGATATTGTGGGGGAGACCTCCAACACAGGGGTAGGTCTATTTCCTTCTTCCAGGGGGGTCTTGGGGACCTCTCTCCCTATTCTGACACTTGCCCATATAAGCCCAGTGAAGCCATGAGGATCCCGTTTCATCATTGGTGAAAGGGTGGAAGTGTGGCCATGAAGGATGTGATCGTTCTTTGATCCCCAAAGTGATAGACGAACATGCCCCCACATCCATGCGGTTTGGGAGCCTTGCCAAGATGATCCAAGATCAAGCAGCCGGCTCAGTGGCGCAAAATATCAACAGACTTGACACATCTTGATGGAGCAGATCTCTGCCAAGATGTTCGTGGGTTTTGGGATACCTCTAACGAAACCGGACCTCTAAGAGGCAATTGATAGCCACCTCAAACTTCAAACGGAAGGTCCTGGTACCAGGGCCTTCAAGGGGTGGTTAATGGACACCCCTTAACGGCTGAGGGGCTATAAATAGACACCCCTTGAAGGGTCCTGGTAGAAAATTTGTTTGTTCCCATCCCATTCTGTCTCAGCTCCCACTTCTTCCATTTCAGGCCCCCAATGTGGTGATTTCCAGTCCGGGTAGCTCAAGGACATCCATGGAGGGTGTGAGAGCCGGGCTTCGAACTTTGCAGAATGATCTTGCTTAAGTTCTGCATGTTTGCTCAATTTCTCCCACGTCTGACAGAAGCTGGACACAGCATGCTTAAACTCAAAGCAGCTATTCAATCATGTCTGATCAAGCAGCTAGATGCTTTCCACTTGACCCGAGCTCTGGGCGCTTGGTGATTCGGGTGTTGGTTCGGCGGCCTTGCCGTCTCGTGCGGCAAGTCACCTGGAGAATCGGGATTCTGGAGGACATCGACCCGAGGCATACCGAAGCCGTGTCTCCGCCGGTAGCCTGGAGGCTGCACACCCGTCTCTGGGACCAACGGGTTCGGATCACGGTGATCCGGGGCTACCCAAGCACCCCTCAGTCTTTCTCCAAACCGCTGCGAGGTTCGGCCGCAATGCCTCCTGCCGGAAATGCGGCGCTCCACGTCCTGCCCATGCGGCCGGGGTGCGGTGCTTCAGATCCGGGCCGCGGTGGCGCGATGGGCCGGGCTGGCGACCGGTGGATGAAGAGAGTGGAGAACCCCCGCGGTGTTTTTGCTGAGTTTCTCTGTGATTTCCAGGACATCATCGGTCGCCAGGGGGGGATTTGCCGATCAGGCCAGGGGTGGTTGAAAAAGTGTCCATGGAGATACTGTACGTATGTAAAATTATGAGACTGTTCCACACATGAGCTGCCTGGGTTTAATGTGCTTGGGTCATCCCAGATGGTTTGGAACGCGGACTGAGCTCGGTTCATTCCATTGCAGGACCGACCTCAGCAAAACTTGTCGATCTACAGTGGTTCCAGAGTAGATGGCACAAGTTACCCCAAGTTCAGTGGAATATATGGACACCCCCAAAAAGAAAGCATAGATTTTGGGGTGCCAGTGCCATCGAACGTAAGAAACCACCTGTAGATTTACAATGGCAGTCCATGGGCCTTGGGAAGAAGGCCTTGGGAGATGTACTTGGCATCGTTGGCGCACTGTCGGCAACTGCTGGGTTTTCTTCGAGCAGCTCCTTAGCAACTTATCCGTGCATGTGCATGAGTGTCAATGAGGAGAACTCTCCGGTACCCACGGGCAAAGGAAAGGAGAGTGAAGTATACCTAGCGCTTCCAAGAGGTGCCCAATGGAGACCTGTAAGTAGTGTGGAGATATCCATTGGTGACCCCTTGGAAGCAGCTGGTAGGTGAGAGGATGTCCTTGGTTTCTAGTCCTTTTTATGACAGAGTGACACAGTGATTGTGTAGCTCTACGATCCATCTCAGTGTGACGCTGTGTACATTTGTCCACTGCAGAACTCATTCTCCAGGGGCAGCCCGCCGCCGCTCCGGTCGCTTCTGTCGGGAGACCCAAAGAAGAGGTGGGGAAATAGACAAATGATGAAACATGGGCCAAATGCAATCACCTCTGAAGGAATGATCACCCGTCTTTGAATAGAATCATGAGGGCTCAAGGATAAACAAGTTTTTCCTTTTGGGGCGCTTATCAGGGGGTGCAGGGAGTGCAGGGGGTTGGAGGCAGACAGCTTGTCTCATACTTTCCGCAAGTGCAATGCTTTCGAAAGACTTCCTCTTCTGGGTTTGGTGGTCCCGGTCGATCCCTTCGGTAGCTTTAAAGCGGATTCAAAGCAAAAAGAACTGCTGCATGATCTCACATATTTCCTTTAGAATGCACAAGTCCACTGTGACAATCTAAGGTTGAAACATACCAGCAAACATGGGGCCTCCGGATTTGCTCAGGCGTCTTTTTCTCCAAGATATTCTACCTTGTCAACAGCATGGTTCATCCTGACAAGCGTACTGGAGAGCGCTTTGACCCTGAAGCAGGTGGCCAGTTAGAGAGTGAAACATCCTGAAGGAGAGTGAAGCATCCTGAATGGCACAATCAGTCAGTCATTCAGCCAGACAGTCAGTTAATGTCAGTTAGTCAAGCAAGCGAGCGAGCGAGCGAGCCAGCAGTGGCAAGCAGTGGCAAGGAGTGGCAAGCGATGGCAATCAATTAAAAGAAATCAACCCTTTCAAAGAAACAACATGGTTTTGATTGACAAACAGGTTTCTGCACCAGCTGACACTCTCAAACAATCCAAAGATCCATTGCACACCCTCCAGATATGCCATGGGTTCCAACTATGAATGCCAGCCATTTATCCATTTGTGAACCTTTAAGTCCATCAGACTGCACCATCCAACATGGCGTGCCACAGAAAGCCCCAGTTAAGCCATGTTAAGCCACTATCCAGAGATCATTTCTGTAGGCATTCACCTGCCCCAGGGCATCCAGGCAAACCACTATAGCTGGTAACCAGTGGTTCCAAAGACTAAAACCATAGACCGAACGAATCCCTCGTTCCTTATATAGTGCTTTGCCTGGTATTTACTGGGTGCTGTTTCCCCGGAGTCCGTCTAGATGCGGACGAAAACGAAGCATGTTCACGTTCACCTGGGTGATTCACTCGCTCGCAGCAACGGTTTGGGTCCTCTCCCCGCAAAGGGGTCTCCGTCCTTCCCATCTCCAGCTCCCAAGAAACAGGGAGCTGGAGCTCGGCACCCTAGAAGTCGTGGCCCACCATGGTTTTAATAGCCTGAATCCCGAACGACCATGGTTTTACCAAGGGTTTTCCACTACAAAACCAGATCAACTGTTTTTAAACATGGTCTTTGACTTCCAGGGCCCTTGCTAGTTACCCAACACATCTCCACAATGGATCGACCTCGCCCGGGTTCCCCGGAACCTGACGGTGGATCACTCCACGGTTTCATCTTCTCCATCTTCTTCCACCGTCTTCGACTTCGGGCGCAACGCCGTGCCTGGTCGGTGTTCACCGGTTCCCGAGGACTTTAAAGAGGGCGATTGGATTTGTCCGTGTCCCCCAGACGACCCGCGCGCATCGGGCGGGACCGGCTGCGTGCGGACCGCGAAGCGGCGGGGTCCTGCGCGCCCAGGCCAAGCGGTCGATGCGATGCGCGGGACGTCCGGGGAGGTGGTGGACCAAACTGCAGTTGGGGGTCCGTCAGCTTGTAAAGAAAGAAACAGCAGCAGTTCCAAAGGAAGATGGTATTTAGATCGCCGTTATTTCAGGGTTGACGCTGATACTTATAAGCATTTGTTATATCATGGTAGGTTGGATGGACATTCCACCAGTGAGCGGAGGTGAAATGGGCACCCCTTTGGAACTGCTGGCAAAGGATCTGACTACAATAATAGCCAAGAGAGGTTGAACAGCCTGAAAACACCCATCCCATATGTACCACTACAGGGTCTTATAAGGTCTCGCAACCTCTCTTGGAGAGTCTGAAGTAGCTCAGCCCACGCGCGTGAGAAGATTTGGGGTGGAAGATTTGTGTCCCTGGTATCACCCTAAAGTCTCAACCTGGGGTTGCTGTGAAAAGGTAGGATGATATACTCAGTATCCATTGCCCTCGGCCATGCTACCCAAATAGTTACCCAACTATATCATGTACTCTCCCCATCCTGGGCCTCAACAAGGTCAATGAGATCTCTTGGATCCAACCCTCTTCCAACAGGGCCAGGTCCGGAACGCAGGCGAAACCGGGGCTTTGGTGGGATCTTCTGTTTCGCTACTTGAGGCGTCGACTGCGGCGATCACCAGCCGCCCGGCCGTGACTGCGGATGGGGAATGATCCCTAGGGCTCCAACCTCCTGAGAAGGTAGTTGGACCACGTGCCATAGATGGCCGTGGCGTTTTCTTCATGTTTCACTTCTTTCAAAGGTTGTGTTCGCTTCGAACGCATACGCGTGCTTCACCATGACCTCACAGACAGACACACACACACACATACACTTATAGACTTATAGAAATGCGTACTGATGTGAATGCGGTGCCACACACCAGCCTAAGTGAAAAACCTAAGAAACCAGGACGGGTACATGTACGGTGGTCCAAACCTCCTCAAAGCCTACACGGCCTCCAGCTACAAATCGACAAGTTCAAAACGTCAATGCATGTCTGTTGATGATGAATCGATGCAAAGGCTGGACATCTTGTTCTAGCTACAAGCAGGGCGCACGATAAAATTTCTCAAGTGAAACGGCAGGTACGCCGAGTTGATCAGACTCGGTATCCCATGATTGTGGTAGCTTCGTTGAGTGCGGTAGCACAATCATGCCGCACTCCCCTGCTGAAAAAAGATAGGAAAGCAAGCTCAGAAAGTACAATCCAAGTGGGTCCCTGTGACTACAAGGGACACACACGCACACGCCTCCCTGAGGGGAGGCAAGAACTAAGTGACGAACAAATGTGCATTATGTGCGCAGCATGGACAAGAGGATGAAGACATGAAGGAGAGGACAGATGCACAGGGACAAAAAATGAGCCACACCTCATTATCAGAACCTGGGCGACCTAAAACCTAAATGTACAGTAGATGTGCGCGTACAGCCTAAGGCCAGGACCGATGTGTACGGAAAAGAAAGGGGTGAGATGACAGGACATGAAGCAAGGAAAGGCATGAAAGAAAAGAAGAGAAAAAGAAGTGTGTGAAGGGGGAAAAAGGATGAAAGGGGAAACCAAATGAAGGGGACGGGAACCGATGAAACCAAACCTCATTACAAAGACCTAGGAAGACCTGCCTAGTTAAAGTGTACGTGCTGTGTGTGCACCTAAGCTCACGACAGACTCCAACGAGTCTTGAACAAGCTTCGGCCGCTGCGGCCCACGTACGCCGTGCCAAAATGGCTGGCTGCTTAGACCGCTGCGGTCACGTAAAGGCATGAGCCAGCTTGGAGTTCAATAAATTGGACAAAATTCGGAGTTCTTTCGGCCTAGGCCACCTACGCTCGCTGCGAGCTACTCTGGTCCCGGGCGCATGGACGAAGACAAACACCCGTTTGACGGGTCCACGGGGGGCACTCCGCGGGCTCACCCCGGGCTGGCACGAGGCCAGACACACTTATAGAAATGCGTACTGATGTGAATGCGGTGCCACACACCAGCCTAAGTGAAAAACCTAAGAAACCAGGACGGGTACATGTACGGTGGTCCAAACCTCCTCAAAGCCTACACGGCCTCCAGCTACAAATCGACAAGTTCAAAACGACAATGCACGTCTGCCGATGATGAACCGATGCAAAGGCTGGACATCTTGTTCTAGCTACAAGCAGGGCGCGGATAAAATTTCTCAAGTGAAACGGCAGGTACGCCGAGTTGATCAGACTTGGTATCCCATGATTGTGGTAGCTTCATCGTTGAGTGCGGTCCCACAATCATGCCGCACTCCCCTGCTGAAAAAAGATAGGAAAGCAAGCTCAGAAAGTACAATCCAAGCTACAAGGGACACACACACACACACTCGAGAAATTGCGTACGGAACTGATCGCCCCAGGCCCCAAGCCCTGAAGAAGCCTAAGTGAAAAAATTGCCCGGGTAACATGTAATGCGGTCTGACCATCTGAGGATTCGATCGGCGCGAACGACGAGTGCATGACTGCGTGCATTAGCCCTTTACAGAAAAGTGGGGTCACAGCTTGAGCAACATGCAGTTCAAAAAGAAGCAGGTACGTCTGGAAAGCGTCCTTTCCAGAATTCAGCCACAATTGAAGCCTCTCCGTTGGGCAATCAACTGCAATGTGGGATTGCCCCCCTGCTTACATCTTAATTCAAAGTGTACAAATCAACAGGTTCCCTGTGATTCCAAGGGCTTCACACACACGCCCCCCACCTGGGAGGGCCGAAAAACTGAGGGGCAAACAATTGTGCATGTGTGCGCGCAAGGGAGACAAAAAGATTGAGACATGAGAAGGAGACAAGACAAGACCAGTGTGTGTGGTTGCGATGCAGGGGAAACCAAGTGCACAGGGACAACCAATGAACCAGGTACGTGTGCGTGTACGTGCTAAGGGCCGGGCCGTTGTGCGCGCAAGAGAAAGAACGGAGTGAGATGACGGAACATGAAGGCAGAAGGACATGAAACGAAAAAGGAAAAAGGTGTGTGTGTGTGTGTGTGGGTGTGTGAAGGGGAAAGGATGACGGGGGAAACCAATTGGAGGGGCCGGAACCAACGAAGCCAGACCTCATTAGAGAAAACCTAGGTAGACCTAGCCTCGTATAAAACGCACACGCTGTGTCTGCACCTAAGGTGCCAGCAGGCCCCAGTGGGCCTTGAAAGAACTTCGGCCGCTGCGGCCACGTTGTGGCTTGCCCGAAGGCTGCCTGCTCTGGTCCACTGTGGACACGTTCTGGCGTGCCCGAATCAGGGCTGCCTACTCAGTTGCAATAATCCGTCAAATCCTGGCAAGTGGTCTCGATAAGATTCTTCCGTCAAGCCTGACATGCCTTCATGTAAACATGGGAGGTCCGACGATGAATCGGATGGGACACTGAGTGACCTGCCGGGCGATGACCGCCATGCACAGAGCAGCCAAGCTCCGTGATCTTGCAAATAAGGCAGCAAGTGGCCTCCGAATATTGAGCAGCAGCCGAGTATGGCCGTGCTTGCGGTGTTTTCTTCGAGTACCACGAGCAAACTGCGACTGTGGGACTGAGCAATGTGGATGGTGTGCATGTGCTTCAGGTGCAATGCACTGAGGTCAGTCCTGCTGTCTCCTCCGATGGTGCATCAACAGGACACCATGCGCCAGGTGTTCCTCACTAAGCTGACTCTCATGTGCGCCAAGCTCCTCTTGACTCTTGGGGGCTGAAGACAAAGAAGTTTGGAAGGTGCCCGAACTGTGGCTACGCGCTGTTCACACATTGTTTGCCTGGACCACGTCCAACACAAATTGCCTGCAGACAGAAGATTTGGTACTGTGGGCAGCCTGCGGGACATGCAGTTTGGTCACTTTTTCTGCATTCGAATTATGCGCACAAATGGGGCCGCAACCATCTTGTTTGGAGGACGGTTTGTTGCATTCCATTCGAAGATGTAGTTTCTTTTGCCTTAGGGCCTTAGGGGTTATGTAGCCAAAGTATTGGAGAGCCGTGATCACCGAGCGGCCGCCTCATCGGCGCTGTCTCAAGTGTGGTCACCGGTGTGGCCTGTTGAACTTGAGCATGTTCTGCGGTTGCGGTCTCCGTTGTGGAAGTGTTTCTGTGCTTCGTTTGCTGCGAAGCTGCGCACTTTTCATGTCATCCTCTCAAACCCACGCTACGCTACAACACACGTGGCTGCCTTTGAGAGCTCCTTAGCCCAAAAGAATGAGTCTGCAGAAGGGCTATGTGAGGCATTGCATGGTTCTTGGCTTGCAGCATTGGGGTGGCAATGCCGGCATCCACTTCGCCGAGCAGCCGCTCTTGTGTGCCTGAAGGGCTCGTTGGAAGACCGGATTTGCGGTAGCCTTTTCCTATTAACTTGCTTCAAGTGACCCTTCTCCAGAGACGCGTTGTTCATGGGTTTCAGTGTGGGGCCACATTTTTTCAGGAGACCGCCTACAGAGAGCTTGGCAAGTGCGGGGTTCTCATTGAGATCGCAGGAGGTGCGCATTTTGATTTTCCATTTTGCAGCCGCTTTGCCAAGTGGCTGCAAGTGACTGCCACTCCTGCCTGGAGAATATCACGATTCCTCCGCACGCAGCTCTGAAGAAAGCCAAGATTTCTGCAATGCTGTTCTGTGAAGTAATTCCGGTTTTCTCCAGAGCTGTGCGCGGAGAAATGAAATAATCCAAGACTTTTCCGAGAATAACTTCCAAGCTTCTTCTGCAGAGCTAGCGACGAAGAAATCTTACAGTTTTTACAGAAAGAATTCAAAGTGCAAGCGTCGAAGTTTATTTGCTTGAGTGACAAGTGGTTGCCAAGTGGCTGCCTGAGCAAGTGGCTGCAAAACAAAAAACCAAAATGTACGTTATTTGCTCGCTCTCTGGGGATTCTCGCCTCGTGACCCGTGTGGCCCGGAAAACACCTGCAATCGAGAATGGTGGGGCGAGTTTGATAGATCGGGCATCCCAGTAGAGCAGGTGACGCACCAGGGAAGCAGTTCATCCGCACTGTCCCCCCAAAACACGGAACCTCTGTGAGCGATCGCGCAGATGCTCAAACAATTGCTAGATCTTGAAGGTGCTTGCAAGAGTTTCTCGCACTTTTGTCCGGAATGACCAAAAGAGGATGGCCACATGTTGCTGAACCCCTTGCTGAAGTAAACATGTTTTCAGTAGCTGTGGCGTCAACAGATGTTCGGCAAAACGCCGACTGAATTTTGGATGAACTTGGATGGCTCCTGAAGACGTGAAAAATCACCGAGGTCTCGTTAGCTTCTAGGGTTGTGAAGTGCTAGTGTGGAAACGTAATTCTGAGGTGTTTTTTGGTGCTTTGGACATGTTTCCTTCTCCTTAGTCAGGAGCCGTGTTCAAACATACATGTGAGACCTTCCAACTTCTCACTGGTGGCCCTGCGAAAAATAAAGACAAACAATCATGGCATACCCGTGACCATTTCCTCTATGAAATCAGGGGGGTCCACGTGTCCCATAAAACGTTGCATGGTCCCCCCCTACGGGGGGGTCAGCCCTGGATTCCATAGAGAATATTGAGATTGTGGTGTGTGCTTTGAACAATGAATGGCAATTTTGGCTCCAACAGTAGCATATGAAGTATGAGAAGGTAGGCTGAGGGACCTGAGAGAATGTCTTGGTATGTAACATGTTTCTATCTTTTGCACATCGCGAACACACCGGCCCCGCTCCGCTCACGCTCACGTTCCTGGGCCTAGTAGTGGTAGTAGTAGTAGTAGTAGTAGCAGCAGCAGCAGGAGTAGGAGTAGGAGTAGGAGTAGGAGTAGGAGTAGTAGTAGTAGTAGTAGTAGTAGTAGTAGTCTCGACGTGTTTTTGGCAGTCTAATGTAATCATATTATAATTGGTGAAGGGGGTCCTTCCTGCCATTTTATAGAGAAAATGCGCGCAAGCCCAATGTAATCATATGTATATATAATATTATATAATTGGTGAAGGGGGTCCTTCCTGCCATTTTATAGAGAAAAGTGCGCACAAGCCCACTGGAGCCTGAGAAGTATGAGAAGGTAGGCTGAGGGACCTGAGAGAATGTCTTGGTATGTAAGCTTTTTCTATCTTTTTCACATCGCCTACCGCTCACCGGAGTCCCTCAACAGGAACATCACGCTCACGTTCCTGGGCCTAGTAGCGGTGTTGTTGTTAGTAGTAGTAGTAGTAGGTAGTGTTCTCGACGTGTTTTTGGGAGTCTAACGTAATCATATGTAATTATAATTGGTGAAGGGGGTCCTTCGTGCCATTTTGTAGAGAAGCCTGGGTGGAGCGGATTGTAACACTATGTAAAACTGTTCGAGTTTGAAAATAATCTGGCCCTTGAAGGTAAGCCCCTCCCATTTATAGAGGAAGACTGGGGTGAAATATGGTAGAATCATGTAGAATCCATTCTGGAATGAAGGAGAGCGCGAGAGAGCCAGATGAGCGCGAGAGAAAAAAACATGCGCCAAACCCAGATTTTGAGTGTCGACACGTTGCAAACAGACGTCAGCCAGAGTGATTCTATACAAAGGCCATTTACGTCAGCCAAGGCCGTTCTATACACCTCCATGTTCCCTGGGGGGTCAGCTCAGCCGTTTCATATCTATAAAATCACCTTTAGGACCCCCCCGGCATTTTGACAAGGGTATATCATGGCTAAGAGCACCAGAAACACACCGCTGTCTATGGCACGTATACCTAGTTAGGCCTCCCAAGCCCGCCCTAACCACCCGGAGGTAGTTGGAGCTGTAAGGTATACAATTGGCATTCGCTGGTGGCCGCCCAAGAATGGCCGACGACACCAGGTAGGGAAAAACTGGTCGGTTTCCTGGTGTTTTGAATCATACTCAGGCTTGCCAAAGACCTTTTTGAATAGGGCAAGCGACAGAGTCATTGATTCACAAGGTTTTCTCTCACTGATTGCTCTGGGTCAATGGGTCTGTGTGAAGCAGGCGGAGTTCGGCAACCTACCGACCCACCAAGAACCACCCCAAACTTGGAATCGTAATTGGGTAGTATATGGTATACGCTGCATACGCTCAGTGCCCGGCTTCGTCGTGGAAACCTAAATATCTATATGCTCGTTCGAATTTTGACATCGTCTAGTACTTGTCCTGTTTGGTCCGCAGGAACTTTGTTTAGTCCGCACGACCCCACCCTGCCAAAAACGGCCACCCCGTGTGTGCCACTGCTTTGCCGCACTCTTCAGGTTCGCGCGGAACACTAGCTGCCGCCGCTGTGGTGCCGCCCGGCCGGGCACGGCGGCGGTGCCCTCTGCAACTCGGAGACTCCATAGGTTTTCCCGGCTCTCCGAAGGAAAGCACCGGCTGAGCGGGACAGGTAGCCTGGTGCTTGAAAGAGATATAAGCGATATTAAGAACATTAAGAGATGCATGATGCCTGGCATTGCCTGGGATGGTGAGTCTATGACTGGGTCGATGGGACCTTGTGAGACATCTGCCTGTTTGGACCCCAGAACATGGGCAGAAGAGGTGGGTCACTGCCGCACTTCGATGCCGCTTCGCTCTGAACGACCCTGGGGTTGATCTCTGGGCCTAGAAGGTCTGACCTGGAGGCGTCTGAGGGGCGCTGGAGCCTCGCAGAATGATTTGAAATTATGTTTTTTGTTCGTCTTTCACTTCTTCAAACCCTACCAATTAGCCCAGAGCTATATACCTGTAGGTTTTGAAGTTTCGACCACTCCAAGGTTTTCAAAGAGTTCAGCTAAGCTGCTGGTATTTTGTAGTTATAGTCTAACAAGTTCAGTCAAAAACCATGAAATCATCACCCCACGCTGGCGGTTGGTAGTTGTCCATTGTTGTAGACCATAAAAACAGAAGAAACACACATTCTTTCTTTTGTGCCATCAAAAGAACGTGTTCACCATCAAAAGAAGTAGTGTAAGGTCCTTGGTAAAACCATATGTTGTTCAAACAAACACTGAAACACGTAAACCTCTGTCTATTGGTGGTGCTTGGAATCCCACCAGGGCCCAACTCTACGCCGCCCAGGGCCACGTGGTCCCCCCGCGGGCGCATTTGCAGCGGAACGCACCCACAGTCGTCGTAGCGGTGCGGTCGGGGTATTGCGGTCTGTGGGGAGGTTGACACGGGGAAGCAACGAAGAGGGTTTCATGGGCCGGTTTATTGCAGTCATACAGAAGCACTTGGGGGGGAAGCAACGAAGAGGGTTTAACTGTTTTGATGCATAGAGAATTGACAAATCACCCTTGGACCGTCTGGTGACAGTCTGGTGTTTACCTGAATCACCTCGCAGACGTTCGGCCTCATCGGGGGTTGGGCCTCATCCACCGCCGAAATTGGGGGATCTTTTGGCAGGTCGGAGAGTCCGCCCTTGGGGACATCTAACTCTTGAAAGGGATGGAAGTTCCCGAGTTCGACGGGCACCCCAAATGCAAAGAAGTCTACTGAGTTCAATTGAGTTCAATTAATACCTGGACTCCTGCATGGAGCATCTGTTCAGGTTCACCAAAAGACGACCCTACACAAAAAAAGATGGTGTTCCAATGGTGTTCCATTGGACAGGATGATCCTAGTAAGACATGCTGAGCAATTTGTTTTTTGGACCAGTAAAATATGGTACATGGTAAGAACCCGAGCAATGCATGGTAAGACAAGACCCCACCTTTCTGTCTCGGCCGAGCTTGGCCAGGACAATGCGGGGTTCGTCGAAGGCGACTGGATGTGCGGCCCGGGCAGCATTGCTTCGATCCAGCGAAAACTAGCGAAACGATCCCGTAATCGATCTTTGTATCCCTCCGAGAAAACAGCCCTTGGTCCTCAAATCCATAGGGATTGGAGGGTCTGGACCCCTCCATATGAGGGTACGGCCCTACTTAGGAGGGTCAAGGTCGCGTCTGGGCTGCCAGTTTTTCAACGGCTTAGCAAAGGGTTGAAACATGTTGAAACTTGACACACACACACACAACGGAAACACTGCGAAACTTTCGGCAGCTGTGATTCAAGTGGCTGGGTTTATTAGTCGTTTGCATCTAGACGGGGTCAATTTGGTCTAAGAATAAGGTCCCGGAATTTCAAAGACATGTTTCGTCACTTAATTGTCATTGATCAGCCTGCGACGGGCGCGCGCTTGGCACATGGAGAACTTGAAGAACAGATACTCGGACCAGACTGTCTGATGTAGCAAACATTAAAAGACATCAATGAATCAATGACATAAACTATACATTGGTGGTATTTGATGTATATATTATATGACATATACATCAAATACCACCAAAGTAGAGATCATGTGGAAGATGTGGAACCAGGACCGTATTTATGATCTCTCCGGGCCCCTGCCGAAGTGTTGGGGAGAGCTTCTTGGGTTTTGCGCGGAGGAGCTTCCAAGTATATATTAATGTCTATGGGAGGAGGTCCCTCGGTCCCTCTACCTACAGGAGGGAATAGGAGGGATAAGATATATTGATAAGAAGCAGAAGAACAAGCATTCCACAAGCAGTCCGACACGGAGATAAAGAAACTTGAGTCCCACTGTTGCTCCCAAACTAATCCCTTTGATGTTCACCCCGGGTAGGAGGGGGATTCGTGTATCTACCAAGAAGCCATATATACACACATCAGGTGGTGTGAAAGCAACACACACAGAAAAGGTCATGTGTTTGACGTGACACCCGTCTAAGTACTCCACAGGTGTGAAACCTGGAGCCACACGAATAACTCATTTGTTGCCGGAGGTTTTGGCAAAATGCATGGAACTTCAGTCAAGGGAATTGTCCCAAAAACGAGCTCCCTAGTCCAGGGTGTGCTCGCATTTTCCTTTGAGATTGATCAAGCGCAAGCTTGGTCCACCGTGGAATTTGGGAAGGCCTTGCTTCGCAAAGCCCCAAGGCCTTTTCCACCTCATGGCCCTTCAGGTTCACCCCTGTTCTACCCCAAGCCCAAAGCCCCCAACGGACTCTCCAATTGGCCTCATCGGGCTCTCCAAGGCCTCGCCTGTGGGGACCACCAGTCACTTGGGCAGCGTACCACGTGAAGTTCCGACCCCGTGCGACCTGGGCGCCGTGTGGGTCGCGTTTTCGAGCCGAGCGCCGGTGGGTTCGCGGCGGAGACGGAGGCCCTGGGACCGAGGCGGATCTCGATCTGCATGACAGTTCTGGTTGGGAAGATTCAGTCAAGAATCAAGAAGCAGTGGCTAAATGAAATCAGTGGCTAAATGAGAAGGTCTTGCCTGGGTGGATCGAAGGCTTTCTAAGACCACTGGGTGGATCAGGAAGCGACGATGATGATGAAAACTCGGAAGCGATGTGGGCACCAGGTGTAGGGCACCAGCCCAGAACCTGGTGGTTTTCACTGAGCAAAGCTGCACCGAGCTTGAGGTTGGTTGTTGGTTGAGGTGGACATTCTTTTTTCGCGACTGACACGGTCTGACGGTTTTTTAGTGTTTTCGGTCTTCAATTTCAACATCAGGTAGTGGAAAAACCACCAGTTTGTATAGAGGAAAATGCATTGGTCCATCCAAGGACCAATGCCATGGGTCCTGTGGATTTCGTCCCAGAACGGGCTGGGTCACGGAAGATCCGGGACGTACATCCGGGATGAAGCCATTCGCAACTTCTTCCACTCACGGCACTCGACGTGGAGACATGCGGAGACGGATTCTGCCCACCCGAGACGTAGCCTTTTGGACTCCACGGTGACGTCAGGTGACGTCACTTCTGAAGAGAATATATCTTCTAGCACGGAGCGTGAGGTAGCATCCATCTTCGGTGTCCAAACATGGGTAAACACTAGAATTGTGGACTCTTGATTAAGATACCATGACATTTGGATTAAAGAACCTCTTCATGTTGGATGAACGTCCCTCAAAAACATTCAAAAACCGTCCTAGTTTCTTGACAGCTTCATCCTGTTTCTGGGTTGGACGCTGAAAGCGAAGAAGACCCTGAGGGCCTTTCAGGATCGACTACAGAATCATTCAGAATGCTGGGATCCCCGAACGCTGGGTATCCAAGATCCCATTGGATGTCCCCTCCCCTCCGATCGCATCGCATGTACCCTCCGTGGAGAGCATGGACCCGAAAGGAGGACTATGGAACTCCACTCACGAATAGGGTGGGAACTCCCAGTTGCATGTGAGTTGGAGTGTACTTACCATTTTTGACCACCCCCCCCCCACTCTCCGGATAATCACCGAAGGAGGCAAGTATAGCTGCAGCATTGTGCAACCACTTGATGTTTGTAGGCCATTGATGGTTTGTTTCAGCAGGGTACCCTCCTTGCGACCCTGAAACCACCCTGCCAAAGAAGCCCTTGAAACACCTGAGGTTCGCTCGCAACGTCAGCTGTCGTCGCTGCGGCGCGGCCAAGCCCAGCGTGGCCTGGCCACAGCCACCGGGCGACCGCACCGAGTGTCCGAAGACCAACCCGGTGGTTGGACCGGTGGGTCCTCGGAACCGAGGTGGCCGCCCCCAATAGGCCGCTGCGGCTCCTGGCCCAAAAACGGTTCGGTGGTGGACCGCGAGGAGATGGTTGGAGAGCAGTGGTTGGAGCCCTTAGGGTCATACAGACTCTATATATACCAGCACCCTCCAACAGGTGCTTCCTGGTGACAACAGGTGCCCAGAAACCACCTGTTAGGGTCTCCAAACAACCTGTTGGAAGGTGCTGGTATATAATCCCCAGATGAAGATCCAAATGGGGTGACAGAGGTTGAACAGCCTTATAGCCCATCCCATGTCCCTCAGGTCCCATCATAAGGTCTCTCCTCGCTACGAACGGTAGCAAAGGGCATCGCTACGAACGGAGTGTTTGGATGTTTGATCAGTCCGAACAGTCCGTTCAGTTCGTTACATCGCTTGAAAGACGCGGGCCATGATGGGGCCCCCACTCTGTTTCGCTGGTGATTGGGGGCCAAGACATCGCTGGGCATGGCGCCAGCCTACCAAGGCCACTGGCCAGCTGCGGCATGTGCCGCCGGTGATTGAAATCGGTGCGCCTGACGACACACCGGGAGACACCGGGAGAGCGGGAGACTCCGTCGCAACCTGGGCGTCCTTTGCAAGGTTAATGATGAAGTATACTTGGAGTGTTCCTCCAACATCATCTATTGTGGGGATATTGTCCAGAGGACTGGGCAGGATTAGGGTCACAGTCAAGGTGAGCTGACACATGTTGGTGTGCTTAGTCCTTACAACTGCCACACCCAAACCGGGCACCTGACACAGCGACCTTGCTCAACTGACACGCTAAAGCCTTACAACTGCCACACCCAAAGCAGACACCTGACAGAGTAACCTGGCTCAACTGACACGCAAAAAATAGGGAGCTGACACATCTTAACTGAATCAACTGACACTGTGAAAAAAGACAGCTGCCACACTTCAGCAGAAACGCCCAGCCCTTTTTTTCCTCCTGGAAGACGTCCGCTTCCATCCATCCTTGAAACTTGAAGTGGCTTAGGTTTCTAGAAAAGCCTTGAACTCTTTGGCAACATTCGAGTCTGGCTGTTTCAGCATACTCAGCAGCTTGAGCCCTGCCGACTTGGATGGGCGAATGTGCTGCCTCATGACGCCATTCATGCATTTCAGCACAGCAGCTTTCTCAGCCTCACCATCATGAAACCCGCGGCCAATAGTGGAAAGCACCTGAACCAAAAGGTTGGAACCAGACAAATTCATACTCCTATCTAATATATAATGTATATAGTAACATAGTATATATACACTTACTAATATCAAATGTTCGAATGAATCAAATTCAGAATATTGAATGGAGCCAGGGTACAATCAAATCAGCCAGGATCCATTTCACCACCAAGACATTGCCTTGATTCACCATCGTTTTGATCTCATTGATCTCCTTCTCAACTTCTGGAGTGCCAGATAGGCCTGGCCCTGGATGCTCTGGGATTTTGGTCAAATCCTTGGCGATGCTCACAGCACGGGAAGCGGCGGCAATGGTCTTTGTTGCTGCAATGTACAAAGTGTCCGCCGCCTTTTCACCAATTATTAATAAAATGCCCGACTATGAGGTCAAAAAGAAAAGCAACTTCTTGTTTATCACTCCTAGTTACAACAGGCACTTTCATTAATCTCGGTTGCGTTTGGCCATCTGAAGGTGGGAAAATGATGACAAGAGTGTGCCGAACAACGCACACCTGCCAGCTTCCTTTCTCACCACGCACTGTGATCATCTGGGAGGTCTCGTCAAAACCTTCTCTCAGGGATGTAACAAGCGGCTGCTGCTGCCTGCAGAGCAAGTACAATCGTGCGAGCATGTTTGCTTGACGGGCCAGGACTGCTCCAGCTACGATCGCCCTCATATAGCAAACAGTGGCAGGTGACATTCCCAGTGCTAGTGCCTGGCCAGCCTGTGACTTGATTCGCTTTCCATGCTTCCTGTCGCACCCAAATGCACATGTCAAAAAATCTGACATAGCCCACTTGTAAGTATGTTGATTTCCTTTGATTTGGCATTTGGTATTCTTGACCAACATGAGTCCATTCTTTCGGACAAGATTTCCAGCACGACCACGCACAATATGTATCCCAGCATCAGATTTGGAGCGCTTCTGTAGCTGACCAAGGATGCTCAAAAACTGATTCTCTGACCTTACTTCTCGGTGTCGTTGGCGGTGAATCTGCATAGCCATCCCCCAAGCCTTCCGCTCCAATGCTGAGCCTCTGGAATTCAATTTCAACCCGGCCAATGGCTTTGGCCGCTCTGTTCTTTTGCGTCCTCCAATTGTGACCAGTGCTTGAGTTTGCTCATCGAAAGATGGTGTTGGATCATCGGTCTGGGCAACTAATGCCAAGGCCTTCGTAGAATCGCCTCCTCCACCGCCATCAGCGTCATCATCAAAGAAGTCAAGATAGTCCATGACTTTTCATGACTGATGACTGCTCCATGGCGCTTCAAGGTAAGGGGAGAATTAAGAGTCTTAGAGTGAGAGTTGCAAGCCTGGACAAACAGCACTCCTACTCTCCAAGGCTTTCTTCGACCACTTCCTTGCCTAAAACAAATCAAATTCAGGTCGAACCCTGCCTAAATTCTTGGGTTGGGGCTGACACCACAGCCCTTTGAAATCCCTGTGCTGTATGGCTGTATGGGTAGGCAGGTGTTTCCTTTCGGGCAGCATATGTTGCAGCGCCCAAGGAAAGCGAGCGAAATTGCGCGACAAACGCTAGAATGCTACGTAGAAGTATGTGCCAAATCTTGGTCACAATGTGCGGTGGAGGTGTTGTGACAACACGTTGTAGCTGGGTGCTTGTTTCATGAACTTGAGGCAGTAGCGTGACAGAAGTTGTGCTTTCTCATCACTGGTGGGCACAATATCTTGGCATTGGTATTACATTAGCTGGGGCAAAGGTGCTTGCTCCTGTTACCTTGTTAGTGTGGCAGTAGATGTGGCAGTTGTGGAGTGGCAGTGGGGAAGCAGTGTGACAGCTGTGGGGGCGGGAGTGGGGAAGCAGTGTGGCAGCTGTGGGGCGGGAGTGGGGAAGCAGTGTGGCAGCTGTGGGGTGGGAGTGGGGAAGCAGTGTGGCAGCTGTGGAGTGGCAGTGGGGAAGTAGCGTGGCAGCTGTGGGGCGGGAGTGGGGAAGCAGTGTGGCAGCTGTGGAGTGGCAATGGGGGAAGCAGTGTGGCAGTGTGGCAGCTGTAGAGTGTGTAGCCGACACACTCCTGACAATTTTCTTACAATAGACTCCTCTACATCATGTTGGAGCAAATCATCAAAAGTATACAGATCATGAATCTGGATGACTGGATGCCGCAGAAAAGTGCCGTAAATTCTGAATTAGCATGACATCCCCACTGTTCAACTGGTCACATTTCTCACTTTTAAGATTTGTTTGTAGCAATGGCGCCTTTCAGAGGAACCTTGGCGCAACCCTTTGTCACCCGAACAACTGTATAACCTCTTGCAACAGAGGGCTTTGGATCAGATCCCAGGCTGGTGTGGTTAGTCATGTCATGGAGCTCAGCTGCACCAATTTCGCCGATTTCGCCACTCCATGTGAGCCGATCCGCTCAATTGTCAAACAACCATCGACTGGGCTAATCCCTTCTTCCTTACAAAAGAAGTACTCCTTTTATCTCCTTTTAGAGGTCTCATCCCTGGACTAGATCAAGAATGATCAAGAAATACGTTCATGTTTCGCCCCAGCTGCTCTACCCCCGCAGCACCCAGCAGCACGTCCCAAACCACCCCAGCACCGTTTTTCGACCACCACCACCTCCGTCCGTGCCCGCGTCCGTCCGCGCAGATGGCACGCGCTACATCGCCGCGCCCATCCAACCCACCACGGCGATGTCCGCGGCGGGGGGCCCCGGCGGCCGTCTAGTCGATCCACGACACGATCGAACCACAGCCGGTTCGTTGAGAGCGACCCAGCCGGTCGCATCAACGCAAGAAGTACACCAGCATGGACCCCAAACTGGCAGCTCGATGTTTCGAGCTTAGCAAGTCTGCCGGCCAAAGGTGCTTCGAACTGCGGAGACATCCAGGGACACAAAAAAGAGAGGAAGCAAAATCATGTTGAGAATCCAGAACAGACAGAAGGAGACAAAAGGGACCAAAGGACACAGTGTGGCTAGAACTTATCCCAGCCATCCAGATGGATGTGGACCTGCTGCGAGATGGATGTGGACCTGCCTCTCGCCAGGTTTTACTGGATTCTAGGTTCGATTTGGGTCTTAAAATCAAAGACTCGGAGCTTAAGAATCAGGATGAAACACATTGATGCTTGTAACATGCAAAACACCCACACCCACACACACACACCCAAACACCCTAGCGAAGCAGGCGCTCTATATCAAACACCCGCTGCCGCACCCGAACAACACTCCGTTCCCGAGGTTCGTCCCGGCAACGGACGAGACTTCAAGGCGGGGCACCGTGGGTTTTGGGGGGAACGGGAAGACGCCGGGGAGAAACAGGTGAGGGATGACCGTGAGAGATGAAGGGCGAAACCGGCTGAGACAGGCGAAAAAGGGATCATGCCAGCAACATTGGAACATGCTGTAGAACTGTATACAAGTCGTTTTTTCATATCGGTCCCAGCGGTGGAGAAAAGGATTTTGGGAAACAGACGTCGGCACGCGTCTCCGGGTCGGCCCCGGACCTTTCGCCTCGTTCGCAGGCCGGGGATTGGAAGTGCCCAGCCTGTGGCGATCATCAGCCGGAGGCCCAGTGGGAGCGACGAGCCGGACGGGCCCAGAGGAGCGGAGAAGAGGCCCAGTGCCTCGACTGGGCTTCGAATCGAGGACTGGGTCACCTGAAGAGCGATCTGCGAAAAGGATCAGTGTCCAGTGTCCATGGATCAAAGATGATCAAAGCAATATATATATATATTTAGTATGTGTCGCCATTCATATCCATTCCCCTCTTTCTGCAGGTCAAACTCAGGACTGCAGAGTGTTCCTTTTATGATTCTAAGAGATTCTGATTTTTTATTCTGGCATGGACCATTGACTCCACTGACGTCCATTCATACTCTTTGGACCTGTCTCTACTTTCAGAATCTTTGAGAAATACCCAACAAAGATCAAACAGATCATTGTGCTGCTTCGCTCCGCGCCGCGCCAAGGTTTGAGCGCAACGCGAGCTGTCGCAAGTGGGGGAAGCCCAGAGCAGGCACTTTTTGTATCTTTTTGTCGTTAATTCTTCATGGCTTGTTGGAACACGCCCAGACACTCCATGTATAGAATATTTACATATGTTTACCTACTTGACCCCCTTTTTAACCACCCCAATGTAATGTATCTAAATATGCCAGTCCCATGGCGCCCGTGAATAACTTCCCAGGAACACGAGATGACTATGAGGACCATGATGAATAACTAAGACTTGGAGGGTCTAAGACATGCTACGAGTTTCGAGCGTACTGGCCGGATCCCACAACCGCTGTCGGGGGGATCCTGGTATGTGTATGTTGTTAATTGTGTAATTATATATAATATACATGCATGTATATTATAGCATTTAATTCGACATCGTCAATTTGTTTATGTATCCATTTGTATGTTCAATAGTGTCCAATAATTTGTTCAGCTCAGTTCAGCATTTGGTCACCCTGCAGCCTCCCTCGCCTCGCGCTCAGGTGTGGCGAACCCAAACCGCTGGCCGGCAACAGCGGCTTCTATTCTGCACCCAGGGGGCCGCTGCGACGCCATCAGATACGGTAGAAAAGTAGACAACTGACTCCACTATCCACAGCGTTGGCATGTTCCAAAGGGCAGTTGCCGCTCCCTTTCCTTTTCATTTGGCCACTCCCCTTTTTCAGCACACCTCTCTCCGGTCACACACCCGCGTCGTGCTCGATCCGAGCGTGGCCAGCGTGCGTGCTCAGATGCTCGGATCCGAGCGTGGACAGGGACGGGACCGGTCCATGGGACATCCGTTGGACCATCCAAACAAGGGAGTTGACCTGGTTGACTCGGATGAATGTAACATCCCTTGGTTGGTTGATTCGGGATGAAAAGCCAAGCGAATGATGTTGCTGGTTGGCCTAGGTTGGCAGCCTGGGGTTGAAATTGGTTGGGTCTGGACCCGTTCTGACCTGCAACAGTCGACAGTAAACAATTATTGCTATTTTGGAACAAGGCCTGCAACTGAACCATCATCATCCACTGGCCGCCAGGTATTGGGATGGACCCAATTGGGCCCAACATATATACATTTACCCCTATGAAGATGACCCATCCATGTAGGCAACGACCGACTCTCCTTGCATTTCATCCGAGTGGTTTTTTCCAGGATCGATCCGGGGCTCGAGCGACACGACGATCCGGATCCGTTCAGCGAGTCGTTCACGGAAGGAATCGTTGCCATGGTTTCTGTAGAGGAGACCGCCCCTCAAATGGGGCGAGTCGTCCGAGTGAAAGACATCGTGACACAGTGAACACCGCTGAAGGTTGGATTGGACCAACGCCAGTACCTACTACAGTATTTGAAAACGCTGCCCAATCAAAAAAAACCTAAATACGGAACAAAGCCAAGTTCAGAAACTGGCCCGGGTTCAGAAACTAGGGTTCAGAAACTAAAGCCACGGGTTCAGAAACTACAGTTCAGAAACTTGTTTTGTCGTGTTCAGAAACTGGTTTTGCCGGGCTCAGAAACTGTTTTGCACTAATTCAGAGACCCGGTGTCTTTTTTCTCTTCAGGCACACTGATTGCTTCAGGTACGTTGGGGTGGGTGGGTGGGGGGATATTGACGTATAATGTGTATCTCCACGTTCCTAGTTCCCGAACCCAAGCTTCCGAACTCCATGTTTCGAGTTTCCGAACCCCTGGTTTGAGTCTCCGAACTTTTCCGAAACCCACGTTCTTCAGTTTCTGAAGCCGGGTTTCCGAACCCAACCTTTTAGTTTCCGAACCGGACGCTGACCCCTAAATACTGCTTAATATTGGATTGAGCTCAGAGGTACGAGACCGCCGGGTGGTTTCCCGCGTGTGTCGCGGACGCCGGAGCGACTGCCGAGGTGGCCCCACCATCCGCGGCCCTGCCGGGGTGCTCCTAGCAGCTGGACAATGTGCGATTGGATGAATGGCGGGGGCAGATGGAGGGTTGGCATAGTCAGATAGCCTATTTCATCCTATTTCACATGGAAACTATGTGACAAAACAAAGATAATACACACAAACAATTAAATGTCAGAAGATGGATATACGGTATACATCCTGGACTCTTTTGTGTAGATCCATGTAGATCCGAAGCTTTTTCAGAAAGCGTTGGTGATGGAGCCAGAAGTTTGTGAAAGGGGTACAACGGAAAGAGCCAGAAAGAAAGAAGTGTCCACTCCGACCACTAATACCCAGACACTCCATGTATGCCATATTTGCCTACATGGGGGTGGTTCCAGGGGTCAATGTAGGCATATATGATTGCATATGATTGCCATACATGGAGTGTTTGGGATATGGAAGTGGATGGCATAGTCCCCAGGAAGTCTATTACTTTCCTTTACGAACAGGGGGTTTGGGGTTTTCCACTTCCATGTGATGTGTTCGTCGGAGTGTATACTCTCGTGAGGCAAGGCAGTGTTTGTTTTTGTCCAGCCGCCATCCGAGTCCATGCTGAGTGTCGAAAGATGATCCTCGTCTGGAATGTAGACTCTTGATTAATTTTATAAAGATTCATTCACCCCCCGGCATTTGGATTGTAAAACCATGTAAAACCTCATCATATCCCAGACACTCCATGTATGGCATATTTACCTACATTGGGGTGGTTTTGGGGGTCAATGTAGGTATATATGGCATACATGGAGTGTCTGGGTATTATGTGGGGTTGAAATGTTTAACGAAGACGTCCACATGAGTCGTTCGGAACGCGCGACACCCGGTCCCCTTCTGGAGAGACCGCCGACGACCAATTCCGTGCATGGATGAACATGACACCCCTGGAGATCGGCGTGTTTCAAGCTAAAAAGAGTTGCACCATTTGCACCATTTGTCCATTTCAGGAGACGTTTTTCAGGAGACGTTGAAAGGAGAGCAAGGCAAGCATACAGTTCTGCCACGTGCCCAATGCGTCCATTGGACGTCTGAAAGATGTGGACCGGCCATTCCATGAAGCCTAAAATGTTTGGGTGCCCCATTCTATTCCAATCAAACATCAAAAGCGTCTCACCGCTTGAGCCAAGCTCTCACCGCTTGAGCTAAGCGCCATGATCGGGTTCAAGACCATCCGGTGGCGAAGCGGGTCGTAGACCGGTCCGCCGTTTGGTCCGGTGTCCAACATCCTTCGGCGGCCGTACGACACCTGGAGTCGCAAACTGATCGGACGTGGTGGAAAGGACACCTGTAAGCACCCGGAGTCGCGGCGGTGGGTTCATCATGTTCAGCCCGGAACTCACCCAGCAAAAGGTTGAGCCTATAGGTCCATTCATGTCCATTCTGTTCAAGTCTCTCGTCAACCTAGCCCGGTTTTGACCTCAAGACTCGCCACGACTTGCCACTCCCACGACGCGTAGCTCGAAGCGACTTAGAGCGACAGAACGACCATCGACCATCAGTCGACGGACTCGTGTGTTTCTATGTGAATATATTTTACCCCATGTGTCATGGATCTCTTTTTGATGAATTTGTTTAGAGGACCGTTTCTTCCACAAAAAGCGAGCCTGTTTAGACGTCAGCTAGGCCATGTCCACCACTCTTTCCAGCCACACCCGGGTGCCGCACCCCGGGCTTTTTCGACGTCGCACCCGGCTTGACCCAGGCAGACATTCAGGCGAGAGCTGCCGTGGCCCCGAGCAGAGGTGCGCCGTGAGGGTTGGAGTCGTGGTGCCTCCCCCACCAAAGCATTGGGGGTTGACCTCCGAGCCTCTTACCCTGTGTTACGGTGGGTACTGAGAGTTGAATTTGTATTACTTTCTGTAACGTGAACAATGCGTGAAGCTCTACAAAGTGTGTGCGTGTCCACTATGCTTTATGAATTAGCTACGAATTGTCAAAACGGTTCCACTGTTAAGCTCAAGTGGGCTGGCTTTGTTTCAGGAGAGTGCATCTAATTTGGATATGGATCAGGAAGGTTGGCTAACCCTCCTGGCATGCCTGCGAATTTGTACCCGCGGTCCTTTAGTGTACACTGTGTACACCTTTGTTTAAATGTAATTTCGGAGAGTTGTGGGCATTGCAATATGGGAGATCTATCGATATATGCGCGAGTTGATCCGTCGAGAAGGGCGGATCATGTCTCTCCTCGGAATTTTTCTTCAACACGGTCATTGATTCAACCCAGACCCATTCCCAGACACTCCATGTATGCCATATATGCCTACATTGGGGTGGTGCCAGGGGGGTCAATGGGGCGGCATATATGGCACACATGGAGTGTCTGGGATTGGGGGCCTCGCCTCCCGATTGAAATACACTGAAGAATTCCATCGCCCCAACCGCCTGGGAGCAGCTGGGTCGATGTTGCGAACCTGATGGCGTCGGTGATTTTTCGGGAGGCCGAGATCTGCCATGGGTTTGGTCTGCCCCCTATACTAACAGCATAGTTAACAGCATCTAACAGCTACTAGCACCCCCCAAAAAAATGCTTGGTGCCCCCATGATCATGGTTTGGTACCCCCTACCCCAAAAAAGCTGGCTCGGCTGAAGACCTGTCCAGACCCATCCAATTCAGATTGGGGTTCGGATTCAGAGCTCGGACCTTCAGCGTGTGAGTCTTGAGGTGGAAGGCATAGGAGAAGACACCAGTCGGGCATCTGAAACCAAGACGGGAGTTGAAACCGACTGAGATGAAGCAAGGTAAAGTATGGTGAAGCAGGAAAACCATGGAAGATGAGGAGATGTTTGTTTTTCATGGTGGAATCTTTAAACATGTGGCGGCAGTGTGGAATGGGTCACCTTAAGCAGCTATAATATGTGTATATGGTGAAAGGAATGGTTCTCAGATCCCGAAGGTCATGCACTAGATGTTCGGTTCACCTCAGCCCCGGTACACCTCATTCTTCAGGTACGTTTTATTTTGGCACCCTGATAGATGCAACGATATATATATATATACCCTATAGAAGTCCAAAGACTATATTTTGACCGGCTGAAGTAAAGGAAGTTCCCTTTAAGGTCCCCTAAAGATCATTTTTTAGATAGTCTTTGACTCCCAGGGTCTATATACCGTTACGTTCACCCCACAGGACCGATTCAGCAAACAAAAGAAAGTGTCACCTAGACCTAGACCCCCAAAAAGATACCCAGACACTCCATGTATGCCCATATCTGCCGCCCCATTGGCCCCTCAAACCACCCCAATGTAGGCATATATGGCAGTCCCATGGAGTGTTTGGGATAGACAAAGTAAATCCCCATTCATGTATGATGGACACCGTGCCACTCTCTACTTGGGGACCACTAGTGGACCACTGGGACCACGGTGATCCGGCAGGGGGAACGAGCAGCTTCATGCCGGGCGACTGGAGCTGCCCGGACGGCCCAGATGGAGCGAACGACGTGAGTTAGCGGTAGCGTGATGGGTGGGTGATGAGGTCGATGGACCGGCCCAGAGGTCGCCACCTTAGACAGTTTTGAGACCGTTTTCGATTTAGAATTGGGAATTTATGAAGAGTTCCTGGTGAGTTGGGTTTTGTATTTTTTGTTTGTGTTCCTTTTTCTTCGAGTGGATGATGGTGGATGGCTTCACCCACTCGTCGTGCCTGTCTGATTCGCACGTCAGTCTTGGGCAGCTCCACGAGCACCGTATTCTGCTTCTAGAGTCCTCCAAGCACCATCGGAGCCTGGGCCGTGTTCCAAGCCTCAGCCCGGGTTTTGCGGATCAGGTGATTGACACTCCGACGAACGCGTCACATGGTTACGTGGAAAACCACCTGTTCGTAAAGGAAAGTAGTTTTCCAAGGGACCATGCCATCCACTTCCATGTTAGTGAGCGAGAGAGTATATCTTTCCTATGGCAAAATATCTTCTACCAGGATCATCGGCACCCGGTTGTTGGAAGTGCTAGGTATATTGCATTTTTGTCCTGGTTCCTGGACAGCCAATCCAGAGCAGCTCCGGGGAAAAAGAAGGGAACCTGACATTTTCGGCCACTACAGACTGCCGAAGTGGGGAATGTTAAGCTCCACAACTTCTTTTTTTGGAGTAAGCCGAGTAAGCCAATCAAACGTTGATTTCCACTTCCATATCCCAGACACTCCATGGGACTGCCATATCTGCCGCTCCATTGACCCCTCAAATCACCCCAACTGATCGGCATATATGGCAGTCCCATGGAGTGTTTGGGTACAGCTGAACTGACGTCACGATACTTCCCTCTGGTATGTGTAGTACTCCTATAGAAATCTCTTAGACTCTTTCTCAGCCCCTTCGGTTGAGAAAGACACAGACACGACCAGTAACACCGTTAAAGGTTCAACGCTTTCGCGGACGATCTAAAGGCAGCCGTACACTCCGTGGGTTCTCCCTTCCCTCGTCTCCCGCCGCCGTCCGAACCCGAAGCGCAGGTCCGGGCTGCTTGCGCCCCAGGGAGATGAGAATGGGTTCTGGTGGAATTCCCCGAAGATACTTCATGGGGTTTGGCATATTTACTTACCTGGCATGGGGTGGTTCATGGTGGAAAATAGGGCAGGGATCCATTACACGTCGTATACTTATACATCAGGAGTAAGAAACTTTGGCAATAACTTCACTCGAGAATCTCACTGACATGACTTCTCTTTCCCAATGGAATTCCGGCGATTAATTTCACCCCGAACTAATTTATAATACCATAAATTTACTTCGGGGCTAAATTTATCCGCCGGAATTCCACTGTGATCCCCTGTAGGGTTCTAAGGGGAACGGGTTGTAGGTCATGTATTCACAGGCCTGTTACCAACTTTTGTTCTGCCCGTTGTATATTGTAATTTATATATATATATATATATATTAGATCAATTACAATATACGACGGTATATTGTAATATGATATGGTCCCTCACCATGTGGTCGTATTTTGGATTGGAGGCTGTTCTCTTTGCTGCAAATTTGCATCCAAACTTCGGGGGTGAGACTCAGGAGACATCCTAGCCTTCAGTTCGACCATTAAAAGAGTTGGGTTGACCCGGTGTTGTAGCCTCAAATCCTTCATAACCCAGAGGCTCCATGTATGGTATATATGCCTACATTGGGGTGGTTTGGGGCGGCATATATGGCAGTCCCATGGAGTGTCTGGGTAAAACCATGTTGGTCCGGAATCGATGGTTGGAATCCCAGGGCACACACTCCTGCGTTTCTCGTCGGATGGTTTGTCCGCCCTGGAGAACCACCACTGGTGCAGCTGCAGGAAGCGTTCGTCTTCCAGAGGTTCATTTTTTCAGGTTCCATGTGAGTCTCGTGTACTAGGTGTACTGAAAGAAGAGATCGAGAGGTAGGGTCAAGTGGCATGTAGACGAAACGTCCACCCTTTGACCCTCGCGCTCTGTCATAAGCAGCCGGGCTTGAAAGCTTACAAACATGCGTGGAGGGAGTGTCAGTAAACATGACAGTGGAAGGTACTTCCTGTCAAAAGTCTCTGAATCTTTTGGCTTTTAGCAGTTCTATTTGAGACTGAAAACAACAAAAGGGACAAACAATCGATTCTGTGGGATGAGTTTGGTATCTTGATTGATCCTTTTTAAAGTCTACCAGCACCCGAAGCGACCTTCAGCCATCACGACCGAGACCGAATGAACAAGTGACTTCATGTCCAGCCTGCGCCCAATCCATGTTTGGCATAGATCTCAAAAGCACGTTTCAGCCTTTCGGGTCAACATCCTAGACTTGACTACACCCACATACCAGTAGGCTGTTTCCAGCTGTTTCCTGATGAGTCCGGTGCGCTGTTTCCACACACACCACCGCTGTTTCCAGCCCCTTCGTTCGCTTGGAGCGGTCCGATCCGCCCGGCGAGGTGGCGACCACCAGTTCGGCCGCAACGAGCACTGCCGGAAGTGTGGCACCGCACGGCCGGACGTGCCCAGCAGGCGCCTGTTCGTGCGGGACGAACGGAAGGTGGGCGCTGGAACGTGCGAGCCGTTTGAGCAGCTTGAAGGTGCTAAGCAGAGGGAATGAAAGCGCGGGTCTAGTCTAGTAGTTAGTTCATGTTATAATGAATGCATCGCATGATATCGCATGCATCTTCGCCCATGTCCAATAGATTCAGAGGATATCTGTGGAACCATGGGAGCCATTGTCCTGAACAGTTCAACTTCTATATTGGTTTGTCAAACAACAGGTACCATGACCTTCTCAGTGACCTAACTTGAGATCCCAGAATGAGGTCACAAACAGGCCTTGAAAAGGTCACTTACCAATCCTGAAGAGGTCACTGGGAAGGTCATAGTATTCAGCTATCTAAGGGGCATGTTTGCATGTTTGCAGGGGGTCATGCACCCAACTGATGCGGTTTTTATCTGCCACAAGTCGCGAGTCTCGCGTCAGAGGATACCTCAGACCTCGCTGGCGAGCTTGTTCTTACCACCCCTGTATATTCCAATAACTACTTCCTCTGTATGGGCATCGAATGGGAGTATATAAATGTCTCCAACTCGTCCCGTCCTTCCAAACGGATTCTGTTTCCTCTCCAGTCGACGCGCGCTTCATGCGCGAGCGCGGTCACGCCGCTAGGCCAGTTTTGTCGAGCCTGATGCCTCAGAGTTGCGGACGCGGCTTCGGTGTTGGCACACGGTGGATGTGGTGTCGGGCCGAAAGCCACTTGGGGAAGGAGCTTGCCCACTGGAAAGCCAGGAAAGACCTGATATTCAGTATTCAATATTATTCAATAGTATTCATGGTGCGTGCTCGTATTTCAGGTTGGGGGGTTGTCCATCAGTGCCTAGACCAGTGGATTTGAGTCTATTCTTCCATTCGAACCCAGAGGTCGAACGTCCGACGGGGGCCGATAGATTGGTTCTGTCTTTTTGGTCGATGATTCCCATGTGCCATGTGCCTCAACAAAAAAGTGCCACCCGCGGAAGGTGAAAGAATCTCAAAGCATGTTGTGGCAATGCTGGACAAATCGTGTTCAGAATCCGATGGGAACCTTGGCGGACACTGGAGGATTCAATGCACACCCATCTCCGAACATTGAACATCTGCCTGGTACAAAGAACATCACCTTCCAACCCCTTAGCTGGTCAGGCTGGTCATGTTTCTATGTTGGTGCTCGCGGTCCGCGCCGGGCAGACCTGCCACTGAGGCAACAACCTATCGATGAAGCCTGGCGACTGGTTGTGCCCCAACAAGGCGGGGGATCACTCCCTCCTCGTGCGCAGAATTTGGCACCACTCTGATCCAGTTTCGCAGGGTTTCTCTGATCTGGTTTGACCAAAGACTTTTGAAGACTGGGTCAGAAGCACCCTGGAGGGGCTGGCGGATTTTCCTTGCGGGGGTTGGAAAGCTGCTGGGGACTTCCAAATCTCCAGGTGTTTGTATTCTTTTTGGAGTCAAAGCCTTCGGTGTAAACTGCTTCCTCAAGACGCATCAGAGTCGAATCCGAAGGTTCCTGACAGATCCAGCAAGTTGGCCAATGTTTGAACAATGGTATCCTGCAAAAACAAGACCGTGTAAGAACAACCCTGGCCAGGCACAGTTGACCTTCACTGTCGTTGCACAGAGGAAAGCTTGCTCGTTCAAGGACCATGCCACTTCAGCATTCTGCCTCTTGAGAAAGCACTAAGCAGTTATGAAGACGCTTCTGCGCTTCCACTCGCCATATGGTCGGTTGCCCTTTGTAGGTATGCCGCATGCCTGCTATCCACAAGCAACCACAGGCAAGTAAGGCAGGCACGATCACAACACAAAGATGGAGTCCTCCTACCACAAAGCACCGGTTAACCAGAGTTTTGGGCGCGCCTCACACGGTGCAGCATCATGAACATTCATCATTACGACCGTTGGAGATTGCTCAATTTTTGCACCAAAGTTGGTAGCTAGACCCCGCAAGATGGATGTACATATACACCCTGGGATTCCAACAGCCATTAGAATTAGTTTTACTGGTCTTTGCCAAAGAACCAATATTTGTAATTCAAAGGCTATAGGGTATATGGAGTCCCATACATATATACCAGCACCTTCAAGGGGTGGTTAATGGACACCCCTTAACAGCTAAGGGGCTATTAATAGACACCTCTTGGAGGGTCCTGGTATATTTATATATAATATATACTCGCATGGAATTCTTGTTGAGTCACCCCAGCCCCCCAGCTTCCTTGGATTCGTGACTCTCGTCCGCCGTCGCCTCCTCGCCTCGCCAGAGCTGCAACGATATGCAGTTCGCGCGGAACGAGCACTGTCGAAAGCCGGGCGCCGCGCCGAGCGTCCCGGGTTCGTGCCGCGGCGTGGCACGTGGGGTGGGCAAAGAGTGGGGCAGATGATCCTCATGCATTGTGTGGAGGCATGAGTGTATCTCATCAAGACTGAGCGGGCCCCGCACAACAGGGGCCCTGCCATGCCTGTTCCATTCCAAGAATGGAGCTGCAATGAACTGCTGGTTTTCAACGTTGGTTGGGGGTAAAGGACATGCACATCATTCGGGAGCTTTTTGTTGATTCATGTGTGGATTTGGCCAGGGTTGCGAATTGAAACACCCCAGCAAAGTGGGGGCACATCGGTTGGTTGGAGGAACAAGAACACTTGCTCCTTACTAGTACCAGCCCTTTTTGGTGGCCTGCACCCCTCCACCCAATGTGATTGTCACAGGAAAAAACCCGGAAGGATGGGTCCAAAGACTCAGAAAAGCCTTATCTGTGATCGATTCTACGTTCTTCGATCCATTCTGCACCGTGCACTCATGACCGTGGAGTGTGTTGTGACCCCCGAAACAGGAGGGAGTTCCCACCAAAGCTCTTGCAGTTTCACGTCCGACACTTCGAACTGGATGGGAGACGGCCACGACCCCCTGGGTGATCACCTGGGCAGAAAAGCACATGTGGGTGAAGCTTTGCTTGCTGGTGGCTGAAGCACGTTAAGTTTAACAGTTCGGAAGCCTACATTTGAAGAGTATTTCAAAACATTTTTATTTTTATTTTTTTAAATTTGGATATGATCTGGGTTTACAGTTTTATTACACCCTTTTACTAAAGCCGCAATTAGATTATGCGGTACTGTTGGGTGCTCACTGTGCCCTTCCTGTGACCATGCAGCCGCCGCTGGAAGATCTCAAGGATCCGGTTTTGGGGCTCCTCTTCAATATTCCTGGTTGGGTGTTTTATGTGGGTTTGCGGGTACTTGTGAGGAGGGCGCAGGGCCTAGGGCGGGGCGTTTGATGGCAATCCCCTAGAGGCCCGACACCAGACCCACACCCTTGTGCAAAGTGTATTCTTCCCCACAAACAAAACCTGGAGCTCTGGAGCCACCGTATTTTTTTCTGTAAAGAATCCATGCATATAGAAACCATAAACCACACGGATGGTTTTTTATATGATTTATACCCTTCTCCAACTTTTCAACTCATAAAACTACCGATCTGCCCAAACCATTAAAGAAACATAAAACACACTGTGCTTTAATGATTTGCATCCTTCTCCAACAACATGGATTAGTATTGATATTTTTATGGCCTTTTTCAGGCCCTATGAGGTGAGCCGAAGCACGTGCCAGACATACCCAAGTGTGTTGCCTGGGGGCCTAGAGTTCCCCTGAATGAGAGTTTCCAGCTTGCCCACCGACAGCACATTCTGCTTATTGCGCCTATTTAATAAGCCTATTTAGTAAATTTAGTAGTCCTCTATAGCTATTTAAAAAAAACACATAAAATATCATAAATTCAAATTTAGCCTTTTTCACAACGATTAAACAAACATATCTACAGCCTATATACAAAAAATATAAACAATAAAAACATATTTCTGGAAATGAGCCCTGTGCAGAGTTTATGAAGTCATAACGTTAAGTGCCAAGGCTTTGCCAAGGCTTTTGTGTGTGTTCTTTGTTTACGTTACAGTAAATATTTTGTATTTTTTCACAAAAGCCTTGGCAAGAAGTATTTGCTTGAAAAGTTCAAATCCTTGGCAAGGAGAACTTGTCAAGGAGGTGTGTTTAAAGCTAATATTCAGATTCATATATATATATATAATCTATAGTTATATTCATTCTTGTGGTTCTATTTCCAGGGAGAGTCATACCCATCCAACCACACACCAGACAAACACCCCGCGGAATTGATAGGTGTCCTGGTTCTCGAAGTAAACAGCCTGGACGAGCGACGCACAAGCGCTGGGCTTGTGAAGACTCAATCTTCAAGAACCAAATGCATTTCAAAGGTTCACTCCCCAAAGAACCTTAAATCCAATCTCACGTGCACCTGGCCCGCGCACCTTTAGGCGCAAGCACTCTTTTCTTGCGCATGCAAGGATTGAAGGCAAACCATGCCAACAATGCACCGGTTGCAACAATCGTGTCCAAGCGATTGTGCTCCAAGCAGCGATTGTGCTCTAAGCAGCCGGAAGGCACACGCGCAATCACACACACACATACTGTTTTGTACTATCTAACCCCTAGACTTCCAAGACCATTAAAAACATGGCTGACCTGGTTCTTGTAGTGTAAAATCCTTAGTTGATTCGGGATTCAGCCTATTAAACTAATGGTTGTTGGAAGCCTAGGGAAACTATTTATGAGATAATTAAGTACTTTGAGGCTACATGAGGCTACTGGCTAGACCAACAGCTGAAGAAGTGACAAAGAACACATATGACCTGCCAGGTGTGGCACGCCCCGCCCGGACATGGACGACCTCGCCCGGTCGCGGTCCCCCGTGCGGGGATACTGAGCACGGTCCATGCCCGTCGGGGCCCCCGGAAGTCGGTTCGCTTTGGAGGGTTGGAGGGAAGAAATTCAAGAGAACGTCCACCAGAATCGTTTTTTTCCCAATCCGTTTTTTTTTTGTTGGAGGTACTTTTGATCAACAGTGTACTATTAGAGGTGATTTGTTTGAGTATGGAATGTGCTGTACACTGTGGGACTCTTGCGGATTGTGCGAATTGTTGGTGATGTGTGGCTGTTCTTGAGGGTTCTTGTTTGTTGCATTGCATGATAGCTATATACTACTTCCCAAGGGCACGAATTGATTTGCGAATCATAGACCAAGGTTAAGGGTTTGAGGGTCCAACGGCCGTGTTCAGAGGTTCAAATGATGTTCAGAAAACGATCTTCAATTGATGCTTCAAATAATACATGTATATACATGTGCTCCATGAAAATCATGTCGTGAGCGATGAAGGTGTAAAGTTCTGTGTGAGTATGCTGCACCCAGTGCTGCACCCAATGGGGAGTCTCTCGAGGGGTGTTGGAACCAGTCATCTATAATTGATGTGGTGATTGTCCATCTTGAACCACGTGTCAAAGCAGGCTGACCGAAGCGACGATGTCAGACTGTATGTCAGCCAGATGTTTGTAGCTTCATGAGAGGACGATGTTTCTCTTCTTCATGCAGTTGTAATGACCCTTTACACTTCTCACTGGGATTGAGCTCCCCATTTCGCTTGAGAAGGACACAGAAGTTGGTCCGAAGTAAAGAATTAAGATGAGAAAGATCATTAGAGCCTCCCCTGCACTGGCCCTGCACCTCCAAACGATGTGGCTTACCAAACGATCTGCGGGAAAACGACCTGAACATCGTCTTCCGTCGAACTCTTCGTTTCCTGTGGGCCACTCCACTGGGCCCAGGATGGCGGGCACGGGGAGGTTTACATGGCGGGGTGCAGATTCGGGACGCTTTGGGCCGAGTTCTGGGTCGAAGGAGTGGCAGGGGTGGCAGGGGTGGGGGACGTTCTGGGGGTAGAAGGTGGAAGGGAGAAGGAAGGATTTGGGTCTGGGAGAAAACTGCGTGACCAAATCGTGAAGGTGTCACAGTCTCAATGGTGGGGGAGGAAGTTCCTAATAGAATGTCTGGTGTGAGCTGAGCTGCACATGTGGGGTTTAGAATCACCCAAATCGGGATGTAAGTGCACATGCCCGGATCATGGTGCCCAAAGAACGCTGCTGAACGGGGGATGGTCCCGTCCAACAAGCACTTCGAACCGGGAAAGGCCTTTGAAGAGGAGGAGGGAGGTGGTCAGCTGCTCTCTCTCTCTCTCTTTTTTTTCTCTCTCTGTCTCTCTGTCCCTCTCTCTCTCTGTCCCTCCCTCCCTCCCTCCCTCCCCTCCCCTCCCTCCCTCCCTCCCTCGCTGTCTGTCTGTCTGTCTGTCTGTCCGTCCGTCCGTCCGTCCGTCC